GCCTCCAGAAACTCTATGTACGAACAGTGTTCAGGCCATTCATTCATAGGGTCGCTATGAGTCATCTACAACTTGACGGCACCAAACAACAACAACAACAACAACAACAACTATGCTGGAAATGAAAAGGTGATAAAAAATGGGGTCACAGTCATAATTAAAAAGACCATTTCTAGATCCATCTTCGAATACATTGTTGTGAGTGACAGGATAATATCCATATGCATACAAGGAGGACCTCTTAATAGCACTATAATTCTGATTTATGTACCAACAACCAGAGCCAAAGAGGAGAAAAGAGGTAACTTCTACCAACTGTTGCAACTGGAAATCAATTGAACATGCAGCCAAGATACATTAGCAGTAATAGGTGGCTGGAATGCAAAAGTAGGGTACAAGGAAGAAGGATTGATAATCAGGAAACATGGACTTGATGACAGAAATGAGACTGGAGAGAGAATCATAAAATTCAATGACTTTTTCATTGAAAGTACTTTTTATAAGGGAGCTCTGGTGGCCTAGTGTCAGGAAGCTGCACTGCAATCCCAGAGGTGTGCAGTTCAAATCCACCAGATGCTCTTCTGGAGAAGGAGGGACAAGCTCCTCCTGTACCAGTCAGATCTGATTTGATGGTACACACACAAAAGAATTTTAAAAAAATTTTTTAAAAAAGTACCTTTTATAAGAACTACAAATGGCATCTATACACATGGACCTCACTTAATGGCCTACACAGGAGTCAGATTGAGTACATCTAGGGGAAAATCACTGGAGAAGCTCAATATTAGCTGTGAAAATTAGGCCACGTGCTGATTGTGGAAAAGATCATCAAATTCTTGTATGCAAGTTCAAACTGAAGTTAAAGGAAGATCAAATCCACAAGATCCAATTTGACCTTGAGTCTATGCCTCCTGAAGTTAAAGACCAAACCATCTCTGGAACAGATTTGAGGCCTTGAATACTAACTAATGAGCAAAGACCAGATGAGCTGTGGGAGGATATCAAGAATATCATCCACGAAGAATGCAAAAGGTCATTACAAAGACAGAGGAGAAAGAAAATACAGAGATGGATGTCAGAAGAGACTCTGAATATTGCACTAGAGAACTGAAAAGCCAAAACAAAGGGAAGAAATGAAGATGTTAAGGAGCTGAACAGAAGATTTCAAAGGACAGTGTGAGAAGACAAGCAAAGTATTACAAGGAAATGTGCAAAGAGCTGGAGTCAGAAAATCAAAAAGGCTAAACTTGCTTGGAATTTCTTAAGCAGAAGGAATTGCCAAATGAATTCAAGCCTTGAGTTGCAGTACTTAAGGATTCTGTGGGCAGAATGTTGAATAACCCAGGAAGCATCATAGGAAGATGGAAGGAATATACAGAGTCACTATAGCAAAAAGAATTGCCTGACACAGAAGAATTTAATCAAACAACATTTGATCTAAGAGCCTATGGTGATGAAGAAATTGGCAAGAAACAAGGTCCCAGGAACTGATGACATACAAATGGACATATTTCAACAAACAGATGCTGCCCTGGACATACTCCCAGATTGTGCCAAGAAATCTGGAGGATGACTTCCTGGCCAACTGACTGGAAGAGATCCATATTTATTCCCATTCCAAAAAAAAGATGACCTGGTAGAGTGTGGAAATTATTGAACAATATCATTAATATCCCATGCAAGAAAGATCCTGCTGAAAACTGGAACAGTACATCAACAGAGAACTGCCAGATGCGCAGGTTGGGTTTAGAAGAGGCCAAAGCATCGTAGTCAGGAGAAGTTGAACAGAGGCCTTCTTCTCTCCATCAGGCCTAATCAAGGTGTTGACCTAGGCCACATCAATATCATAGAGCTTTACAGCTTATTTGACTTGGTGCTTGTTGGCCTTGACATCCATAACTAGTGTGTTGTTACCCTCTATCTTCTTCATGCTGACTTGGTGGTCAGGGGAAACTTGATGGCGGCACAGTGGTCAAGCTCATTTCTCCCAAGAGCGCTCTTCTGGGAGTATTTGAGCTGCCTTCAGAGTCTCAGCGTCGTAGGCCACTTGAAGATGAGTGACATGGGGATCTTCGTGTGTGTGTGTGTGTGTGTGTGTGTGTGTGTGTGTGTGTGTGTGTGACTGCCTTCTTGACCTTTATTGTCTTTGCTTTGGCTTCAGTTTTGGGAGGGGCGGGGCTTCCTGCTTCCTTTTTAGCGCCATCTTTGTAGAAAGGTCGGCTTAAACTCTTGTCAGTGATTCTGAACAATTCGAGAGTGAGAGTAGGAGGATGATGAAGCTCTAGGGGAAGGGGACACTTAGGACTCCTGGGCTGTTGTTGCTGTTAGGTGCCATCAAGTCAACTATGAATCATGGCATCCTGAGGAGTAGAAAATCTGAACCTCGTCTTATTCTATACCATCCTCATCATCTCTGATATACTCGAGCCCATTGTTACAGCTGCTGTGTCAACCCATTTATTGAGGATTTTCCTTTCTTTCCCTGACCCTCCACCTTTCCAAGCATGATTTCTTTTTCCAAGGACCAGCTCCTCTTAACATCATGTGTAGATTATGTGAGACAAAGTCTCACCGTATCTTTGCCTCTAAGGAGCAACCTGGTTTCACTTGCTCTAAGACATATTTGCTTGTTCTTTTGGCAGTCCAGGGGATATTCAATACTCTTCTCCAACACCACAATTCAAAGGGCATGCATTCTTCTTCTGTCATCTTTATTCATTGTTCAATTTTCAGATGCATCACAAGAAACGGAAAAGACCACGGCTTGAATCAGGTGTACCTTAGTCCTTAAACTGACATCATTGCTCCTTAGCACCTTGGAGAGGTCCTTGGTAGCAAATTTCCCCAATGCAATACATGGTCCTCCATGCACTGGCAAGGGCCAACTGGGGATCCCACAAATTGAATGGACAAGAGAGGAGAAAGAGAAAAACTTCCAATACAGACTGAATATTGTCCTGCAGGACTGGGTTCTAATCCCTCCTTTTAGTCTCTCACCCTTCTTCTGGTCCACCTTGTATGGGCAAGGGTGCAGAACAGCCCTGGATTTTGGAGCAAGACAGACAGGAGGCCCGTTTTTGCCCTTTATTTATTATTGTTATTGTCAGGAGCCACTGAGTCCAGGATGACTCATAGCAACCTTATGAACAACAGATGTGAGCCTTGCCCTATCCTCCCCGGTCCTCACAATGATCCATCTCTGCCATACTCAAGTCCATTGTCACAGTGTCAATCCATCTTGGTAGGGTCATCTTCCCTTCCTCTGACTCTTCACCTTTCCTGGCAGGACATCTTTTTCTAAAGATGGTCCCTTCTGACAACATGCCCAAAGTACGTGAGATGACAGTTTGTTTGCCTCTACAGACCACCCTGCCTGCACTTTCTCCAAGACATAGTTATTTGTTCTTTTGGCAATCTGTGAGATATTCAGTACTCTTCTTCAACATCTCAATTCAAAGGCATCAATTCTGACATCCTTAATCATTGTTCAACTTTGAGATGCACAGGAAGTAACTAAAAGACCATGGCTCTGTTTCAGAAGAGTGTTACTCTTTAAACTGACAGGTGCTCTCTAGCACTTTGGAGAAGTCCTTAACAGTCAGTCAATTTTCCCAAAGTGACAAGTCTTTTGATTTGCAGACTGCTGCTACCGTGGGTGTTAATTGTGTGCTTTTGCACAAATCACTTAACCTCTCTGAGCCTCAGGTCCCCCACTTGTAAATCAAGGCGATCAATACCTCCCTCCCTCCCCTGGTCATTTTCAGGGTGAATGAGAGACGGGCCCTGGAAGTACTTCCATAATTGGCAGAGACCAGAGATTGTGATTCTCCACTAGAGAAAGACTCTTTAGGTCCCTGGAGGTGACAGTCTCAAGGAGATATTTTTTTTGGTTCCTTCCTCTGGTGTGCCTACACCTTTCCCAGTTCTGCGGTTGGCTTGAATCCTTCCTTACCCATCCCCTGCGGTTTTCCTTGGAACCGCCTTGGTGGTCCTTAGCTTCTCTCAGCCATCCTTTTTTAGTGGGTGCCGGCATACTAGAACCACCGAGGTTGCCTGCGCAGGCGCAGAGTTGGTTGAGGGTGGGACAGGTGGTGGGGGTCTCCGATGGCCTGAGCCCGCGCTCCTTAGCCTGCTTCGAGGTTTTCATTTGCAGATGGTTTGCTCTGGTCCTTACCTCATCTCTAGGCTAAACAAATGAAGGGAGAAACAAGGGCTGGGGGACCTAGAAGGGGGCTCCCACCTTCTCTACGGGGGGCCGGAGAGGAGGGCGCAGCCCCTGTGCCCCTTCTCATGAAACCACAAGAATCTTTTTGCGACGCTCACAGTTGCTGAAAATGCTTAACTCGGAGGTTTGCCCCCTTCGACCCCTAGACCATGACCCCTTTCCCCAGACCCCGCCAGAGCTTCGACTCGAGCCCGCAGGAGATGCGGTTCTAGGACCCGGAGGCGCCGCCGAGCGGGCCGCCGCCTCTGGCCTCGCCTTCGCCGCCTCCGGCTCCGGCAGGTGAAGCGGCGCGGGCCGCCCCCTCTGCGGCGGCAGGTGACCCGGTGGGACCCCCTCCCGCCGCGCCATGGCTGTCGGGGACCCCCCGGCTGGCCGGCGCCCGCCCCCTCCCTCCAGCCCGCCCCCCTGGGGCTGGGTGCGCAGCGGCGGCGGCGGCGGCGAAATGCGGTCTGTGCGCACGGGGAGCGGCAGCAGAAGTTCGAAAATCGCCGAGGGGGGAGCCAGCGCCGCAGCTTCCTGCCCCCGGCCCAGCCCTCGGGCCCCGGCGGCCTGCAGCCTGACTTCCTCCCCGCGCCCTGCAGCTCGCTGCCGGGCGCCCTCGGACGGGGCCGCCGGGATGGGACGCCGCGCCCCTGTCCCTGCGTGCCGCTGAGCCGAGCCCCCAGCGCCGCGAACCCCTGCCTTCATCACCCCGGACCTGGAGCCGTGTCTCCTGCCCCCTGGAAAGCTGGATTTCCGAGGCTGGAGGCGCCTGGCCGACTGGGTGGGGACCACCATGGGCAACGCGGCCGGTAGCGCCGAGCAGCCCGCGGGCCCCACCGCATCGCCCCCCAAACAGCCCGCAGCTCCCAAGCAGCCGATGCCCGCGGTGGGAGAGCTGGAGGAGCGGTTCAATCGGGTCCTGGTGAGTGTGACCCCGACTGCGCGCAGGGCACGGGCGGGAGGTGGCAGGGACCCAGCACGCATCCCTGCTCCGAGGGGGCTCCTATGCCGCTTGGAGATCCCCAGCCCAGGTGCCTCCTCCAGGGGGTGGGAGTGACAGTGGCTTCCTTCAGAGTGACTTAGCACTCTCCCCAAAAAACTTTCTTCTGAAACCGCCTGGTCTTCTTCCCCAAGACGCCACCCTCTCTTCCTAGCGGTCCGAGGTCTAAAGGTCTTAAACAAACAGGTCCAGTGAGGAAGTGAAAAGTGGAGCCATGGGGCCGGGGGTCCCGGGGCGCCCCCTTCCCCGAGCACACGCAGGCCCAGGCACTGGGTGCCGGTGTGGACCATGCGACCCCGTGTGTCCTCACGGGGCAGAGACGGAAGGAGTCACATCATAACCTCCTGGGGCAGTGGATGGAAGCGAAATGTTTCTGAGCTGATGTGTTCTATGCTTGGGCTGCCCGTGTGGGCTTGTTGGGTCGTGGGGAGCGGTGTCTATGTTCTCACCCCTCACTAACATGGAGCACTACCTGCAGGTCCTTGTCTAGGGCGCTGTCGCCCATCCTCAGAGGGGATTGAGGTCAGGAAGGGCGGGGTCAGGGCGGGCTGGTCATTTGATTTGGGACAGTCCGGAAGCCCCTTGGCTTACCTATAGTACTAGGGGGCTCCTGAGGACGCGGCCATTGGGAAGGATTCTATCAGCTCAGAAGGGGCTAGGGAGCAGTGGGTTGGATTTGGTGGGGTGGGGGCCCCAAAGCAGGGTCAAGGGGTCCATCTGTGGGGACTGGGAGTCAGGAGTGATAAGGGGGAAGGACTACTCATTCTCACTTCCCCCTCCCTCCCTCCCTCAGCCTGTCACTGGCTCCTTTAACTAAGTGGCCTGTCTGTTGTCAGCCTTCCCTCGCTGGACACTGAGTGACAGGCGAATAAGGCCATGGCTTTTCCCAGAGGCCCACGGCCATTTGGGCAGGTTGGCACTGCAGGGCTCAGGGTGGGGGCCCAGGGAGGCCTGCCCTTCATAGTGTTCAGCTCATCAGCCCCTCCACCTCCTCCATGTTGTTCACCCCCCTCCAGCTTCTGTTAAGCTACACAGCAGACCCTGTGCGTGGCCCCACAGGGCGTATCTTAACAGTTTCTGGAAACCTGGACTAGCAAGCATGGAGGATGTAGAGGCATGAGGCTGAGCAACCGTTTGATTAGTGGAGGGGGGGCTCTCGGAGGTGCCTCACTCCAGGATCACCCCAGATGTCCCCATCTATTCCCTCCCACCTCCCCAAATCCAGAGCTTGGCCAAGCTGAACATATGGGTGTACAGGTGCCAGTAGAAGGGTGAGGGGGCCATTTGGGGAGCCTAGATGGTGGTGTGTCCTTGGACCTCACAGCCTGATGAAGGACGCAGGTGTGCCTTCCTTCTGAATTATGTGGCTGTGGTTGGGGGGCAAGAGCTTTCAGGGTAAGGCTCAAGCGGGCTCTCTGTTAGGACACTGATGCGGAGGAGCTGTGTGAATAATTAAGACCCATGGAAAACCTAAAAGTCAAGTGGTGAGGGTTTGTTGGCTGCTGGTATAGATCTTGATTGCCCGGCTTGGATTAGCTGCCATAACTGATTGGCTGGGTCTGACACTCAATGCCTTTGGGAGTCCCAGAGTACCAGGAGAGGAGGGCAAGGGCCAGAGATGGGTCTTAGAGGATGCCCTTGTGAATGAAGGGTGGTGGCTGGGTAGAAACCCGGGCCAGCAGCACCCACTCTCCCTACAGTCTCTAGGAACTCCAGCGTTTCCACTTCACGTACTTCCTGGGGAGGGTTCAGCCTGTCTCTTGTTCTGCTGTGGGCAGGACATAATTAAGGTCATTTGGCTAAGAACCTGACTCTTCTCACTTCCCATTAGCAGGGCCGTATTTATGTTGACCCAGGGATGACAGCTTTGATCCAGTGGTGACAGCGTTGACTCTGTCTGGCCTGAAGTTCCCAGGGCCAAAGATTTGGCAAAATACATAGGCCTGGCAATAGACATTGCAAAGGAGATCTCCATCTGACCCCCAGTCCCAGTGACCAGAGTCCAGATGTCCTTAGGGAACATCTCAGAGAAGAAGTTGAACTTACCGAAAGCAATCACCTTCAGTGTCCCCAGTCTTGATGGGAGCACAGGGGGTTTTTTGGGGGAGGGAAACCCTTTCAGTATCTCAAGCTTAGCTTTTTCACTGGAGTGGGGTCATGAGATCTAGATATCCCAAACTAACACTCTTTTCCTGACTGTAGCCTCCCTCTTATGGAGGAGCAGAGAGCCTGCTCCTTCTCTCCCCTCTCCCTGCCAGCCTTTCTCCTTTGGGAAGATGGGGTGAAGCTGTGAGCGAGAGGAGTGGCCTTAAAATGGGGGTGGGGAGGAAGAGTACGTTGAGCCAGGGTTTCGGCTGCTGCCTTAGCAACGCGGAGGAGCAACGGCTGCCCAGCCACACGGGCCTGCTGGGATGGTAGGAAAACCAGCCAGTCCCACTCAGCTCTCGCCTCTCCTACGCCCCTGCCCAAGGCTGGGTGGCTTCCAGCCCTCATCCCCTCCCCTTTGGGGCAGGCAGGGCCAGGGATTGAGATGGCAAAGTACCATTTCTAGGTTTCCCAGATAGTCAGGTAGATGACATCCCTAGTTTATCTGGACAGGGAGGCACGGGAGGCTGAGGAAGCCCCCTGTCTGGCAATAGGAAGAGGTTCTGGGAATGGTCTGCACACCAATAGTGAGTCTGGAATCCTAGTGGGGGTGAACCATTTGGAGAGGAATCTGCCTGATGGGACCAGTACTCTTAGCTTTCTCCATCAGCTTGTGTTCAGAGATATGGCACTTGGCCAGGCTGTGTGGGGAGATCAGGACAGCCCCAAGGTCCTGGGGTCCCTGGTCTGGCTGGTCCATCCCACCATGGGCTGGACAGCGTGAGTCAACTCCTCAGTTCTGGACATGGGAGACTGAGCTCCCTTTTCTGTGGTAGAGGTGAGCAGATTTTTATTTAATTTATTTAAATATTTGATCTTATTTGTTGTCATTGAGAATATACATAGCCAAACACACACCATTTCTACATGAATGATTCAGTAACATATTAATTTCTTTGAGTTGTGTTCTCATCCTCTGATTAGAGTTTTTCCAAGCTGTTCTTCCACTATTCATGTAAACATAAACCCATTACCCTCTGAGATTCTCACTTTATATTCTGATATGCACTTGGACTCCACGTTGAAAAAAAACAAAACAACCAAAAGCAAAACCAACAACAACAAAAAAACAAAGCCAAGGCGATTCCAGCTCTTAGGGACCTTGTAGGAGTAAGAATAGAGTACGAGTAGAATGGCTTGCTATCCCAAGCTCGCTCACCACTCCTTGGAAGGGCAGTGAGTCTGTCTGGATCCATAAAGATTTCCATGAAGGTGTCATCTGTTGCTCAACTCAACTCATTGCCATTGAGTAGGAACCAACTCAGAGCTGACCCTCTAGTGGGTTTCAGAGGCTGTAAATTGCCCATCTTTCCCTCCACAAAGCTCCTGTTGGAGTCTAGCTGCCAGAGAGGCATGGTCTTTGGGTTAGCAGCCCCCAGAACGCAATTTCTTATGTTGTTGTTAGGTCCAATCAAGTACCATTCATAGTAGCCCTGTGAACAGCAGACCTGAGCTCTGTCCTAGCCTGTGCCATCCTTATCTCTGACATACTAGAGCCCATTGCTGCAGTCACTCTGTCAATCCAGCTCGTTAAGGGTTGTCTTCTCTTTGGCTAAAAAATTGTTGAAAATAACCCCTTTTTAAAATTTTTTTTCAATTTTATTATTTTGTGTGTGTGTACTGTCAAATCAGATCTGACTAGTCCAGGAAGAGATTGCCCCTCCTTCTCCAGCAGAGGATCACCAGATATGAACTGCGTACCTCTGGGATTATAGTGCAGCTTCTTGCCACTAGGCCACCAGAGCTCCCTTGAAAATAACCACTTCTTATAGGTATATCTTAAAACAGCATAATGCTCAAGGCAGCCATTCTTTTTTTTAAATTTTATTTTATTATTTTTGTGTGAGTGTACCGTCAACTCAGATCTGACTGGTACAGGAGGAGATTGCCCCTCTTTCCCCGCAGAGCATCTGGTGGATTTGAACCGTGCACCTCTGGGATTGTAGTTGCAGCTTCTTGCCACTAGGCCACCAGAGCTCCCCTAAAGGCAGCCATTCTTTTTAATTTAACTTACTGTTTCATTTTCAGAAGACTTGAAGGGATTATTTTTTATTTAAGGTTGAAAGGTTATCTCAGAGCACTGGTTTCAAGGGTTCATCCTGCCTTCATGGATCTGTATAGTCTGGGTCCCATGAGAATTTGAATTTCCTCTGGAGCAGAGGTTTGGGATCGTGTAGCCACAGTCCTGGGGCTGCTCAGGCCTGTGTCCCACACATGGAGGATCCCCAAGGGGCTCTGGCATGTGGTTGGATGCTAGGCTGGGTGGAGGCTGGAGGTGGCATTCCCAGCAGGCAGGGCCAGCACATGGTGACCCTGGATGTGGTGGGCATGACTCACAGGGACATCTGGGGTTGGCAGAGATGGGTAGGAACAGGTGGGACTGCTCATGGGGCTGAGCCTGCAGTTTTTCTGGAAACAGGGAGCCCTGGAAGGTGGCTTGGGCCTCTCACCTTGGAGCTGGGCAGGGGCTACTTAGGGAGAAGGAAGACCACCCGAGGTAGCTTCCTGGACTTCGGAATCATGAAGTGTGGCCTTTGAGCTTTGCCTTTGCACTTACTGCCTCTCTGACCCTGGGTAAGTTACTCAACCTTTCTGAGCTTCAGTTTTACTTACATGTAAGAAGAGAATGGCAATGGTGTTGACTGGCTTTCCAGGATCATTGCAGAGATTAAATGAAATTACAGATTCAGAGTTCTTAGCACAGTTGCCCAGCACCTAGTAGGTGCTTAATAAATACTCCTCCCTGTGAGGAAACGGATGATGATGATGATGTTGGAGCTGATGAAGACCTCTCCATCCTGGGCCTCAGTGAGGTGAATGAAGTTGTTCCCCTCCACCTCTCTAAGACCACCCCAGATTGTTGTGTGCCCCTGAGGAGAGCCCATTTCAGGCCAGGCTGCCATCACTCAGGTCTCAAGCTTTGAGGCCTGGGTAGAAGACTTTGCAGAGGCCAGAAACCACGAAGGGCGGGCCCGCCTCTCCTGGAGGGTGGAGCAGTGGGCTGCTAACGGTAGCAGTGCATGCATGGGGAGGGGGTGGAGAGGCCTCCACTTCCCCCTGAGAAAGGGCGTGTTGTGGGGGGGGTTCCCCAGTGAGTAAGAGCACAGTGTGGGCAACAACAGGAAGTGTAGGGTGCTGGGTGGCAGGAAGTGGGGCTGTCTGTTGCTGGTTCCTTCGTAGGGAGGGGTGCTGGGCCAGGTTGTCTGCAGAGGACCCCTTGGGGGCCATGACCCACATTTCTAATGATTCCCTCACTGCTGGTGCTTCTCTCCTTCAAAGGAAATCCAGTCTTCCCACCAGCATATCTGTTTGATCACCTTGGGCAAGCAACTTCACAGCTCTGTGCCTCAGTTTCCCATCTGTAAAATGGGGATTATAATAGTGGGCTTGTTGTTGAGGCTTAAATGAGGTAATAGATACAAGACATAGAATGCTACATAGCAAAGGCAAGTGCTGTGAGGGCGTTGCTCTCATCCTCCTCCACTTCCTCCCCCCACCAGCCTGTACTATATGGGCAGCACCTGTTGTCCCGTCTCCTGCCCTGCTGGCCCCTGTCCCTTCCCAAACCTGAAGGTTGGCATTACTGGATTTTGGGGGAATCCCAGTACCCTAACCTACATCTGAGTCACCCCACAGCCCTTCTGTAACTCAGAGATAGTTTATAACTGATCAAGAAATATCTGTACTATGGAATCTTTTCAAGTAGTTGTTTTCTGGAGATGCACTGGGTTGGGATGCAGACAGGTGTCTCTACCATACCTATACTCCCTGCCCCTCCCAGTCTCATCTGAGTGCTGTCAACTGAACTCCTGCTTCTACCCCAGCCCCCAACCCAGGATGCTGTCATCATGGGAAGGGCCTTGCTGGTTGTGGGGTGGGGGCCGTTCCTGCTTTCCAGGGTAGCCTCACGCCACCCTGAGTGAGTGGCAGTGGCTGGCCTCTCCCTAGCTCCCTTGGGTGCCTGTCTCCTCGGTGGGCACAACCGAGGAGCAGCTGCTAATTAGTGCTCAGCCTGTCAGAGCTATTTCTGATTTCTGATCCTAAATTTAGCCCGTCTGGCAGGCTGGCATGTGGGCTCAGAGGCCCGAGTGGCTCAGGTGGGAAGGGGGCACGGCCTTGCCTTCTCCCATCTCGGGGCTGTCCGAAGCCTGGGCAGGCGGGCCAGCCCTGGGACAGAGGGAACCAGGCCCCCATCCCTGTAATAACTGTGTAATAGCCTCTCTTGGGGGGAGTCTGCTCAAAGTCTGGTTCTCCTCTTCCTGGCTGTGTGACCTTGGGCAGGTCACCATCCAATCTGTGCTCAAATCAGACCTGTTGCCGTTGATTCCAAATCACAGTGACCTCAGGTGTTACAGTGTGGTGGGGTTTCATAGAGGTTTTTTCAGCAGTAATCATTATGGAAGGAGCCCTGCTGGTTCTTGGCTGCTCACTAAAAGGCTGGTGGTTCCAATCTACCCAGCCATACTACAAGAGAAAGACTTGGCTCTCGGTTTCTATAAAGACTGTTACTAAGAGCTCTGGTGGCCTGGTGGCAAGAAGCTGCACTGCAGTCCCAGAGGTGTGTGGTTCAAATCTACCAGATGCTCTGCTGGAGGAGGGATAATCTCCTCCTGTATCGGTCAGATCTGACTTGATGATGCATGCACAAAAATTAATAAAATAAAAAAAAAAAGATCTTTGTTAGATGCTGCTGAGTCGACTGCAGTGCACAGTGACCCAGTGAACAATGGATTTGAACCCTGCCTCAGCCTGTGGCATCCTCAGAATCTCCAAGACACTCTAGTTCATTGTCACTGTCAGTCCCTCTTGTTGAAGTTCTTCTTCTACTTCACTGAGCTCCCACTTTTCCAAGCATGATGTCTTTTCCCCAAGAACTGACTCCCCCCACCCCTAACAACAACATACCCAAAGGGTGGTTTCACCATTCTTACCTCTAAGGAGCACCCTCCAAGACAGATCCATTCTTTTGGCATCCATGGGATATTTAATACTCTTCTCCAACACCACCACTCTAAGATTATTCTGCCGTCATCCTTGTTCACTGTCCAACTTTGAAAAGATGCATAGAAAGTTAGGGACTAGAAAACTATAGGGTAGTTTTACTCAGGCACATGGGGTTGCTGTGGGTGAGAAGTGGCTCAACAACATCACCCTTATGCAATCAGTTCACAAGCCCTTCTTAGGGGGCCCGGGTGGCCTAGAGGCAAGAAGCTGCACTGCGATCCTGAAGGCATGCTGTTCGAGGCCACCAGCTGCTCTGCGGGAGAAGGATGGGCAATCTCCTCCCATATGATTAACTGCCTCTGAAAACCTGCTGGAGGGTCAGCTGTGGGTTGGTTCCGACTTGACAGTACACAACAACAACAACATAAGCCCTTCTTCCCTGGGCTCCCTGCATGAGTTCAAACCACCAACTTTTAGGTTAGCAGCTGATCACAAAACACTTGCAATGCCTGGTCTTTTTCCTAACCCTGTAGATTGCAGGTGATTGGGGGTAATACCTGAACACAGAAATGGTGTGTGTGTGGTGGGGGACATTGAGGTCATTGGTACAAAGGCTTAGAGCTATAGTGGGTGCTGAGGCAAAGTCCACCCCTGTATGTGGTTGCCACTATCAAGGTGGAAGTGCTTTCTGGGCCGCCGTTCCAGGAGCCAGGTTGTTGGGGTAGGTGAGAGTGAGTGAGAGCTCAGAAACATCCGTGTTGGGGAGCTGCTGTCTCCCCAGGCTCAGATGCTGGGGCTCAGCCACCTCCTCTGCCCACCTTCCCTCCTGCCATCTCCTTCCTCCTTGAAGCCTGGCTCCAGGTTCCCCTGCCGCCTCTCCTCCTTCCTCTTTTCCCTTCAGCCTTGCTCCCTGTCTGGGCTCTGCCTCCACCCCAGGTTGTGTCGCTGTAGGCTGGTGAGGTTTCAGGAAGGACCAGGGAGAGAGACAGAGAACGGAGTGTACTCCCCTGCCAGAGCTTCAGCCCCTCCATGGGGGCAGCCCCTCCTGTGTTGTGTAGTAAGAGCTGGCCTGGCGGTTGGTGGGTTAGGGGAGGGTGCCTGATGAGACAGTGGCCGTTTCCTCAATTCGGGCTCCGTTTCGCAATGGAGGAGGGAGATGACGTATCCTCAGCCCCAGCTGGCCTCGGCCTGGGGGCCCCATGGATGGGCAGTTCCACCTCTTAAATAGGGCCTTTAGCCGGAAAGGTTAAGCAATGGGGACCAAGAACACCCAGCTTCCTGTTGTCTGGGCTGACCCAAGGCAGTGATTTTTGGGGTGAAGCCTGGTCAGAGCCCTAGTACCAGACCTAGCAACCCAGAGAGGAAGCTGGCTGAGGCGCTTCGGGTGGGTGTGGCCCCTCTGTTCCAGCTGCTGGCCTCATCTCAGGGCCACGTGACCCAGGGAAGGTGTGCCTTCCAAGCCACCAGTGACAACAAGGGCCTCCACAGCTCTGAGTGAGGCTCCCTGGGGGCTCCCCCTTGCCCTGTGGAGCTCTTGGTTTACCTTGGAGTTTCTTGTGGGCAGGAACTTTTTGGGGTCTGACACCTTACAGGCCCTCAGTAAACCAGTGGTTACGGGAATGGGTTGAGCCTTTTTTGGTTTCTCAAAGATACTTAAGTTTTGGGGTGTCCTGGGAGCACCTGGTGCTGGTGATCCCACAGTCCTGGGCCTGCTGCCTGCCCTGAAGGGAGGACATTTGAGGGGGATACCATACCCTTGTCATCTGTGAGGAAGATTCAGGGATGCTACTGTTGACCTTTCTCAGCTGCTGAGGGAAGTCCCAGGACTGGGCCACAGCACCCCAGACCCAGCGTGCTGGCCAGGGGGACTCCTGTGGCTGGACGACCTTCCCCTCTGAAATCCCCCTCCCTCTGCACCCATGATGGGATGCTGCTTCCTGGAACCCCCAGGCTGCCTCTACCCCTTCAGGCCCAAGTTCTTCCCCTCTCCTCTTGAATTCCCAAAGTGACTTGAGTAGGAGGGGCCTCAGCTCTCTGCTGAGAGGTCTTCTGGCTCTTGAGAGGTCTTCTAGTGTTTGTGTGGCCTGGGCGTGGTGTGCACACATGAGGTTCCTGGTGACAAATAAGAATGGGCTTGTATCCACTCCTGTCTCTGCTTGGCCTGACCAGGGATGGCTTGTCTGTTATTTTTCTCGCCCGAGTCAGGCAAGAGACGATACCCACAGGGGGATAACACAAGGGGGAAGCTGGGATCCAGAGATGGCTGAGATCGTGGTGAGGTAGGCAGAGAACTATTCCTGCCTCTATATTCCACGTGCGAGGAGGCAGTGCTGGGTGGCAGGCCAGGCCTGGACAGTGCTACCTGAGAGAACTCCAGGGGTCTGTGAAACATCTGCTAAGGAGGTGGGTCCTTTGGGGTCCCCACAGTGCCCTGTCTCTCCTCCCCTTACAGTGGGGCCCAGCTCTGGGGTCTTGACTGTGTCCTCCTCTCCCCAGAACTGCATGAACTTGCCCCCGGACAAGGTGCAGCTGCTGAGCCAGTATGACAATGAGAAGAAGTGGGAGCTCATCTGTGACCAGGTAGGTGTGCCTCCCTCCCACCATCTGGGCATCCTACCCCAGCCAGGCTGCGGTTGACTAGAGAAGGGACACCACCACACTGCCCTTAGGACCAAGGCCCCGCCCAGAGGCTAACATCATCACAGTTGGAGAGGGTTGGGGTGTCTGAAAGACTCTGGAACCCCACCCCTCCTTCCCTTGGCCATAGAGACTCCCCAGAGACTCTGAGTCAGAAGCGGGGCTGGGGCTGCCTCTGCTGTGTCAACAGGGCTGTTCCAGGGTGCTGGCCAGGGCAGCTGGAGCCATGGCACAGTCTTCCTGGCCGAGTTTCGTGGAGCAGTCTACCTTGACCTTCACCAGGGTCGGACATCTTCATCTGGCCCAATGGGAAGGTGGGGGAGGGACAAGAACCCTCTTCTCTTTTTACCTGGGGCCCAGAGGAGCTGTGGCCTCCCTAGGGTTAACTAGAATTCCTCAGTAGGGGAGTGATCAGAACCCCCAACTCTCAGTGCTCAGTTTGGGCTCTGGAGCCTGCCACCTTCATGGCTTCTGCCCCTTCAGCTCTAGGGGTGTTGTCTGTGGCACGGAGGACCCCTCTCCCACTGCTGGCTGGGTGGGGCCTGCCTGGCTGCCACAATGGCTCCAGAGGGAGGGAGGGAGGGAGGAGGGAACAGAGCAGCTTTTAAGCCTGGGGATGTGGAGGCTGGGGGTGGGGAGTTGGGGAGCAGGGAGCCTCCCCTGGGAGCCTGGCTGAGCCTTGCCTTCAGTAATGGAAGGATGAGCTGGGCTGATGGTCTGAGTTGGCTGGGCAGGAGTCTGGGGGTAAGGGCTGGGTGTGGGAGGCGGACGAGAGGAGGAGAGGCCCAGCACCCCAGAGCTTGAGGGCTCCAAGGCCCTGGAGAAGTGGACAGTTAGGAGGATGGCTGAGGGGTCTGGATGGGGAAGGACAGGGGCCCCTCCGGTTGGCAGTCTCTGCTGTGGCCACTGATTCTCTGAGAGGCTGCCTGAGCTGGAGGTGGGTGGACCAGACAAGGAGTTGCTCTATTGCACAGGGACCTATTGACATGGAATCCAGGCGAACAGGCCAAAATGGGATGGAAGAGGCCTCTGCTTACCAAGGAGCTGAGCTAGGGTAGCAGGGCCTTGCCTCTAGTGACCCTTTCACACGGCTAGCCAGGGCATCTTTCTTTTCTGTCCCCCAAGATCCAGGCTTGATCCCAAGGTGTGGTCCAGGGAGGACAGAGCCTAGCTTGGTGCCACCTAGGGGCCAGTCTGAATGCCTTCTGTCCCTCTTCTCCCAGGAGTGTCCATGGCAGGACTGACCCCTCCATGTCCCACCCTAGAGCTATGCTAGGCTAGTGAGGCCGAAGTAGGGAGGGAAATCTAGGCCAGGGACTGCTGACTAGTTTATGGGTTCAGTGGTTCAGCGGCATCTAAGAAAGCCTGGACCCCCGTCAGAGCTGGGAATGGTGTCCTGGGACAAGGGCAGAGGCAGGTCCCCATTTCTGTGCACTTCATTCCTTTTCCAGGAGCGGTTTCAAGTCAAGAACCCCCCTGGAGCATATATCCAGAAGCTGAAGAGCTACCTGGATACGGGTGGGGCCAGCCGGAAGGTGGCAACTGATTGGATGCCCAACTTGGGGGTATATATCTTCCTTTTACCTCTGTCCCGTTCCCCCTCCTCCTCATAAGTTCTGGGCAGCTGAGGTGACTGTGGACATGTATGTACTTTCCTGTGGGCTTGTGTGAGCACATGTCTGAGAGTGATGATAAAGATAGGAGGTGGCGAGTGCCCTGCAGGTGAGCGTCCCCAGTTTCCTCTGAGCATTGTGTGTGTGCGCACATGGGTACCCCTCTGTGTACGTGCATCTATAGGTATCTGTGTGGTATGTGTGCTCTCTCTGTGTGGATCATGGATCTTGTCCATTTGTATGTCTTGTGTGTACATATGGTTTTTTTGTGTCATGTGTGTTTATATGGACATGTATGTATGGCTTTGTGCACTGATGTGTCTGATTGTAGATGTGTGGATGTGGATGTGTCTGCATGCCCAATGCGCCCGAGATGGATTTGTTTATGTGTGTGTGTGTGTCGGGGGGGCCAGGTACGGATGTATGGCTGTGTGTATCCTGTATGTCTGAATACAGATGTGAGTGTATCAGAATACGGAGCGGTTCTGACAGCTAGAGCAGAACAAGAACCTAGAATCTGCTGCACACTTTGGTTTGGGGCTGCTGCGTCTCACTGTCCTTAGCAGCCTTCAGAAAGAACTCGGTGTCTGCTGCAGATCCTGAACCTGGCGGGTTTGACCTCCTGGCAAATTGCTGCATTTTTTTTTATCTTTGTGTTCAGGACCACTAAATGCTGAAATGCCGGTGCATACTGAAATAAAAGCAATTCATTTGTGGTTTGTTTGTTTTAAAGAATATGAAGGGGTTTGTATGTATGTATAATCTGTTGTCCTGAAGGGGGCGGCATGTGTTCTGAAGGGTGTGTGTGTGTGTGTGTTCTGAGTGTCCTGATATGGAGGGGTGTGTGTGTATCTTGTGCATCTGAGTTTGAATATGTGGTGTGCACCTGTATATCTGTGTATGGGGGAGCATGTGTAGCCTGTGAGCGCGCCTGTTCCACTGGGCAGGTGTGTGGAGGTGGCAGGGGAGGCCAGCGTGAAAGGCTAAGCATGGTTTGCGGGTTGGTGTTTGGAGGGCTTTGGAAGGAGACCTGGGCTCTCCCACCAGCCTGCCTTTTCTTGGCCCCCAGTTTAAGAGGCGAGTTCAGGAGTCTACACAGGTGCTGCGTGAACTGGAGATCTCCCTGAGGACAAACCACATTGGGTGAGCAAGGGATTCAAGGCCACTCTTGGGGGCCCCAGAAGAGCAGTGGGGGCCCCGGATGAGCAGCTCTTGGTGACCCCCCTGGCATTCTCCACTTCTTTTCCTGCTCTATGCTGGCTCTTACATCAGCCATGCTGAGCTCATAGCATCCTGGGCCTTTTGAGCCTGGATTTTGGTGTCTCCCTGGAGTGGGGGACACTCAGTCTGGCTGGCACTCAGGGAGCCCTGTCCCTGCAGGTGGGTGCGGGAATTCCTCAGCGAGGAGAACCGTGGCCTGGATGTGCTGCTCGAGTACCTGGCCTTTGCCCAGTGCTCCCTCACGTGAGTGACCCTGTATCCTCGCCCCATGCCACTCCTCAGAGCTCATGCTTCCTTGGGTCTTGTCTGTTCCTCCATCTTGCTCGCTTCCTCGGCAGGAATTTCCTGTAGCCCCAGATCTAAGTCCTGTCTGAGCTGGGTCTGTGCTTAGGGGGTGGATTCTGGGTAGAATCCTCTGGTTGACCATGAACCCCTTCCTGAACACCTGCCCTGGACAGGGAAGGTCATAGCCTGGGGTGCCACTCAGGACCCGGAGGATGTCCCACTGTCTCCCGACCCCAAGCCTCTCCCATCAACAGCCTTCTCTCCACCCAGCCCCGCTCCGGCTTGTCCTCCTCCCTCAGTGTCCCCTCCCTCTTGGAAGCACCCCTGCAGTGGTGGCCTCCAAGCCACTGCATCGCCCCCTGCAGGTATGACATGGAGAGCACAGGCACAGACAATGGGGCCCCCAACTCCGAGAAGAGCAAGCCCCTGGAGCAGTCGATGGAGGATCTCAGCAAGGGATCCCCCTCATCCTGCCCACCACAGCCCAAGAGTCGCCACCTGACCATTAAGTACGTGTGCCCATGCTGGAGTAGGTGCAGAATGGAGATGTCACCCCCACACCCCTGCGTCCAGCAGGCCCAGTGGTGGGAGGGGTGGCCAGGCATGAGGAGCAGAGTTAGGGATACGCACAGGACTCAGGTTACATGTATGTTAAGAAGTTGTTGGTATGAATACCAATGGCTGGGAACTGACTGGATCTGGGGTTAGGAGGTAGTTTCTGGGTCAGTGAGTGGGGCCCACTTGTACCCATCTAACTCCCTGTTTTCTCCCATGTGGCGTCCAGATGTCCCCCTTCTCCTCGGTACGTAGCTGCCTGAGGGAAGTGCATGCCTGGCTGGCCCTCTCGGGATGGTGGGGGGTTGGATGAGATGACTGACATCTGTGGATGGAGGTGTACTCAGCATTGTACAAGAGATGGCCTCAGCAACTCTAGTGTCTTTCCTTCCCAACCTGGGGTCTAGAGGACCACTTTCATATTAAGCTCTCAGCTCTCCCATTCATCTCATGAATGTCTGCTCATTCATTCCTTTGGCAAACTTTTCTTTATACTTACTATGTTGTTAGGAAAGGCTATTCCTTGGAAAAGACTATCATGTTTGAAAAGGTGGAGAGTCAGCGAAAGAGAGGAAGACCCTTGATAAGATGGCTCGACATGCAGCCATGGGATCAATATTATCAGAGATGATGTGGATGACACAGGATAGGACAGGGGTCAGATCGGCTGATCCCAGGGTCACCATCATTAATGCTTGACTTGACGGCACCTAACAACCACTGTGTATTGGGCCCTGGGAAAGGTACTCAGAAAGACTTGTGGGTAAGGGTCCAAAGTCTAGTGGGGAACAATTCAATTTCACAGGCTGTCACTGAGGTATGATTGAGGACACTGAGAAGGGAGGTGGCCACTGCCTGGAGCATCAGGAGGGCTTCCCCGAGGAGGTGACTTGAGAGCTGTGTCTTGCAGACAAATAAGAGACATTTTATCAGTGAAGGGGAGTATGCAACACAGACACTTGGACTGCGACAAGAAGAGAAACTCAACTGGGCTTCCTAGTATCATTGGAAATATGACAGAATTGGCAGAAGGACCCAGCATGTGGAAGTCACAAACTGGCTGTTCTACTACAGAGAAAACACACATTTTTGGGGCAAGATGAGATGGATTGATTCAGTGACTAGGGTAATGAGGGTAGGTGTGTCAGAGACAATAAGGTTGGCACAGGATAGATCAGGGTTCAGGGCTGTTGCACACAGGGTCGCTATGAGTCATGAGCGACTTGACAGCACATAACAACAGTAACAACAACAGTTATACATGTGTTTGTAATACTTGGTTATGTTCCAGGCACTGTTAGAGGTATACATTTATTCATTTTATAGTACTAAAAATCTTATCAAGAGGGTATGAATATTATTGTTTTTATTTTAAAAATGAGGAGACTGAGGCCCAGACTGAAACTTGCTTAGTGAATGGTGAAGCTAAGATTTGAACCAATGTACTCTTGAATTCAGAATCCACCTGCATGATGGAAGAGAAGTCCACGTGGGCATCAGCGCCACCTTGTGGAGAGCCCTTCTATAGCAATTTCTAAGCTATGGCTGGCTGCCCTCCACAGAATCTTCAGTTTTGCAACACAGCAACCGCCTTTTAATACTCTTATCTCTGTTAGGAGCCTTTGCTTGACCCCTCTCCTTCCCCACCCCACCCCCCAGGTCTAGGGACTGAGCAACCTTATTTGCCCTCAGCTGGCCTCCTGCTGGGTGGATGGGAGTTCGTGGCCTAGTGGCCGAGGGATCCAGAGGCCATCTGAGTGGTCGGGGGAATGGGAATTGGGAGCATAGACTCTGACCCCTGCTGTCTCCCTCGACCCCACCCAGGCTGACTCCAGCTCACAGCAGGAAAGCTCTGAGGAATTCCCGGATCGTCAGCCAGAAGGATGATGTTCACGTCTGCATCATGTGCTTACGTGCCATCATGAACTACCAGGTGGGCCCAGGGTCAGGCCTGTGCTTTCCATGGGCTGCCCAAACTGCTGAGGGCCTCGGACCAGCTGTCCCCCCACCCTCTCATCCACTGCGGAGCCCTGGGTCTAGGCTGTGGGCTTAGTAGCCTGAGGCTGATGAGTCTTAAGGCGAGACTCAGATTTCTGCTGCCTCTTTGTCAGGTCCCCTTGAGTGCCCCTTGGTTGTGGTCAGTTGTGTGGTGGTACCACACATGGAGACTGGCCCGCACCCCCAAAGGAGGGCTGGACAGTGAGGCCGCAGCAGAGAGCAGCCTGTGCGTGTTTGTCTGGGGGAGCAGTTGGTGAGGTGGGACCTCCCTCACTTAGCCAGTCTTTGAGGATTCACTGTGTCCAGGATGCCTTAGGGAGTCACGTGGCTTAGTGGTAAGGAGCTGCACTCCCAACCAGAAAGCATGTGGTGTGAATCAACCAGCTTCTCTGCGGGAGAGAGATGGGCTGTCTCTTCCCCTGCGATTTACTGCCTCTGAAAACCCACCGGAGGGTCAGCTGTGGAGGTTCTGACTTGATGGTACACACCACCAGCACCACCATACTTTAGAAAAGACCAAAATCTCATTTTCATCAAGTCTGTGCAGTCTGTAGTAACTGTAGGACAGAGAATAACTGCCCCATAAGGTTTCCACGGCTGGGAAAGAAGAGAGCCTCACTTTTCTTCCACAGAGCAGCTAGTGAGTTTGAATTGTCAACATTTTGATTAGCTTTAATCACTGTATCACAAGAACTCCTTTGGAAAAAACAAGGGACTTAAAAAGAGAGATAGAGCCAGGCTTTGGCTGGAGCAAAAGAGGGTAAGATTGGATACAAAGAGCTTCCTAAGCTTGAGGGGTGTTAAAGACCAGAATGGTGTGTTACTGGCTGTGTAGAAAGTATGAGTAGAAGATGCTGGCAATCCTGGGGTCTGCATGGAGGAACTGACCTGCCCATCCTCTCTCTTTAGTCTGGCTTCAGTCTCGTCATGAACCACCCAGCCTGTGTCAATGAGATTGCTTTGAGTCTCAACAACAAGAACCCCAGGTGAGGTCCATGTCCCTCCTTCCGTAAATCTAGACCCTCCTTTCATTTGACCCCCTTTCCCACTCTGCCCACAGTTCTCAGGAGGCCTGCTCAGGCTCATTCTACCCCACCATTAGCTCCTCTGTTCCCCCGAGTCTGGCACCCTGACCACTCACTGTGAAGCCCACAATCAGGTCCCTTGTCCTCACGAGCCTTGTGTCTGCCCTTGTGCAGTCTGCCTGTTCTCAGAGGACAGCTCACCTTTCTCTCCCTAGAACCAAGGCTCTGGTGCTGGAGCTGCTGGCAGCTGTGTGCCTGGTGCGGGGTGGACATGACATCATCCTTGCGGCCTTTGACAACTTCAAGGAGGTACTGGAAACTACCATGCCCGAACATAGTGGGCCTGACATTCCACTGTCAACAGCTGCTGGGGGCAGCTGGGAACAGAGGGCAGGCATCTGGGAGCACAGGGTGAGACAGTCAAGGATGGAGAGGTTTAGAAGGGAAGATGCAGGATCAGGTAGTTTCGCTGCCTCGGGCATCCAGAGTTGCTGACTATGGGCTCATAAGAAGGTAAATGTGTGACCTATCATGCACAGGACAGGATACATTCCTTTATTTAATAAATATTTATGAAGTGCCTACTGTGTGCTAGCCATAAGAGTGGGCTTTTGGGATGCACAAGTGAGCCAAAAGAACAGGGAAAAAAGCAAAGGGGAGATGGAAAATACACAATGTTGCAAATAAGTTCATGATACAATGTGCTGGAAAATGAGCAGGGCTATGGATAAGATAAGGGGACACAGTGGAGGAGGACTGTTGGCAGCGGTCAGGAAGACCTCATGAGCACAGGTTTGAGCTAAGCTCTTGAAGGCAGCGAGGGCCTTGCGCATGGTAGGCAGAGGCCTGGCGGGGGGTGTGGCCAGGACACCAGGGTGGCCTGAGTGAAGTGAGGGAGGGAGGGAGGATGGGTGGAAATGGAGCCTGGGCTCTGAGGTTGGGTTCTGTGGGGCCCACTTGCTTTGCACCTTGGGTTTGGCATCAATATTTGGTTGAGCAGAGCCTAGCCTGGCAGCTGACCAACACTGGACAGTGCTGGAAAGGGCTTCTGTGGGGTGGACATGATGGCTGCCTGCCTACAGCTATTAGTAGAGGTTTAATTGGTATAGATTTTCACAGTGAACTAATCTCTTTAAAGAAAGCTTCAGGTCTGGACCTCCTCCTGGGTGGTCCTGGAGATCAGCTTTGTCTCTAGTAGAGGGATGGTCTTGGGGGCAAGTGGACACGAGGTAGCTTCTAGCTGTTGGTGAATCAGGAGCTCTTTCCTAGCTCCTGTCCTGTGCGCATGTAAGGTGGGGAAGGGAGGCCGGGTCTGCCTCTGGCTGTCAGTGAATCAGGAGCTCTTTCCTAACTCCTCTCCTGTGGACATGTAAGGTGGGGTACGGAGGCCAGGTCTGCCTTTGGGGCTAGGCTGCCCGGGGCGTCCATGACAACCATATTGCCACCATCCCTCCCCAGGTGTGTGGGGAGCAGCACCGCTTTGAGAAGCTGATGGAATATTTCCGGAATGAAGACACCAACATTGACTTCATGGTAAACTCAGTAGCCCAGCGGACTTAGCCTGGGCCAGGCCACTGTTGTGAGCAGGGAACAGGGAGCAGCCAGGTGTCTGAGTATCCCCGCAAAGTATGAGGACTGAGTGATCATGAGAGTGGGGGGTGTGGGGCAAGGAGGGCAGGGAGGCTGGGTTAGTGGTAGAATAAGAGATGTAAAGAGGGAGGGAGACTTGGAGTTAAATGGGCGATAGGAGGCCCTTAGCATACGCCCCCAGATCATGCATCTGTACGTGTCCCCTGCCTCCAGGTGGCCTGCATGCAATTCATCAACATTGTGGTACACTCAGTGGAGAATATGAACTTCCGTGTCTTCCTGCAATATGAGTTCACTCACCTGGGCCTGGACCTATACTTGGAGGTGAGCCTCACACCCTGACACCCCCGGCCTTAACCACAGTTGTATGGTTGGCGGTATGGACACTGGGGTCAGGTAGACCTTGGTTCACATCCTGTCTCTGCCACTTCTTAGCCATGTGACCTTATATAGGCCTCTTCCTTGCTCTACAGCTCTGTGTTTCCATCTGTAAAATAGGAACATCACAGAGATAGTAGTGACTAGATGCGCAGAGCAGTACCAGGCACGTATAGGTACCAGATCCATGGAGCTATTTTGCAGTCACAGGATCTAGCTCTTGGGGGTCCTGGGACTGACTCTGGGAGTATCCGTCTCAGACAGGTTCTCTGGGTCTAATGAATAAGGGAGAGTGTGGAGAATCTGGCCAGAGTGGGAGCCGAATCACCTAGGGAGGGTCTGAACATTTGGCACTTTCTTGCCCAAAGAATCTGCAACTTCTTTCTTGATTTCTTTGGGAGGCTTTCTGGCCAAGTGAGGGCCCTGAGGTTGGAATTCTGAAAGCTGGGATGAGAAAAGGTGAAAAGCATCCGAGGGCGGTATATCCATATTTGGATATTATTCAGCCAGAGAAAGGAGTGATATATAGACAAACCTATAGGGTGAGCAGTAATACCAGGGAGACACTCAGTCTTTAGCACCGTCACCATCCGAGATCACAAGGACAGCTCATGGATAAAGTTCAGACAGCAGGAAGTGAGAGGAAAGCAGGAAGAGTGGAAATGAGAATCACAAGGAGTGAGTGGGGAAAGTGCTGATAAGATGGGGATTAAAATCAGTGTCATAAAACAAATACACATATGCATGGTTGAATGGAATACCAATATGCTATGGAAACTTTAGCTCAGAGCACAATCAAAAGTCAAGAGGGACAAAAAAAAAAGGAATGAAGTATTAATAGATGTTACAACATGGCTATGGATGAACCTTGAAAAGATGCTGAATGAAAGAAGACTGGCCCAGAAAAGGACATAGGGGATGAGTCCATGTACATGAAATACTCAGAATAAGTAAATCCTAGAGATAGACAATCGGGATGGGAGTGTCAGAGACAGTGCGATTGGCACAGGACAGAGCAGGGTTTAGGGCTGTTGTACATAGGGTCGCTATGAGTCGCAAGTGACTCGACGACACATAACAACAACAACAACTGAGATAGACAGGGGATTAGTGGTTGCCAGGTAAGGGCTAGGCTAGGTAAAGAGGGAAATGGGGAATGAATGCTTGGGGGTGGGATTTCTTTTTGGGGTGATGAAGCAATCTGATGTTTGATAGTGGTCATGGCTGTACAACTTTTTTAATCTGCCGAAACCCACTACTATATTGTAGCTTTAAAATGGCGACTGATGAGGTATTTGAAGTATATCCCAATTTTTAAAAAAGGGGTTGGGGGAAGGGGAGCTCTGGTGGCCTAGTGTCAAGAAGCTGCACTGCAATCCCAGAGGCTCACGGTTCGAATCCACCAGATGCTCTGCCGGGAAAGGAGGGACAATCTCCTCCTGTACCAGTCAGATCTGATTTGATGGTACACTCACACAAATTTTTTTTTTAAAAAAAGGGGTTGGGGGAAAGCCACCTAGGGCTCTGGTCCCTTCTTCTGGGCAGAAGTGGGGGCCCTGGCTGATGCCCGCCCCCTAAATAGTCCTCACCATCCTTGTTCCGTCTGGGGACAGACTCTGCGGCTGACCGAGAGCGACAAGCTGCAGGTGCAGATCCAGGCGTACCTGGACAATGTTTTTGATGTGGGCTCACTGTTGGAGGACACGGAGACCAAGAACGCGGTGCTGGAGCACATGGAGGAGCTGCAGGAGCAGGTGACCACGGTGAGTGATCCCCGCAGCACCCAGGCCCCTGGCCTTCGCTGGCCCAGGCTCAGGCTCTCAGTGTGAATAAGGGGGGGGGGGGCTGCAGCCTGGCCCTTGAGTTTGATCAGGTCCAAATCCTAAAGCCTTTGGGGGTCATGCAAAGCGAGAGTTCCCTGAGCTTCTACATGGGCTGAAACTATGAGGAAGGTACCTTCTGAATGAAGGTGCAGACTTTCAGGCTTGGATGTAACTGGCTGCTTAGGTCCCTTTACAGGTCAAGAGCTTCTCACCACCCAGTGATCAGAGATGCCAGGTTCTGCCTCCAGAGAGCATTTTAGTAATCTCAGGGCCTTACCTAGTTGGGTGCAAGAGCCAGCCAGGCCTGACACCCACAGTGCCGTGGGTTAAGCGCATCCGGGAGCCTCCCCCAGCCCTCCAGGCAGCCATGCCTGGTGCCGCCCCCTCGCTGGTGTCGCCAGTGCCCAGCAGTGGGTGGGGAACTCACCAAATGTGCTGGTGCCACAGCTGACAGAGAAGCTTCGTGACGCGGAGAACGAATCCATGGCCAAGATTGCCGAGCTGGAAAAGCAGCTAAGCCAGGCCCGCAAGGAGCTGGAGACCCTCCGGGTGAGGCTGGGGCTGCAGCCTGGGTCGGGCGGGCTGCCCAATTGGGACTGTTATGCTATCTGTTCCATCCCAGCCGGAGGAGGAGGGTATGGGCCAGGGGACCTGTAGGTGGGCACTGACCCTTACTCTGGGGCTCACAGGAGCGCCAAAGCGAGTCTACAGCCGCAAATGCCCCGAAGTGTTCCCCGGAGCCTGAGAAGGTGCCACCCTTCACCTCGGCTCGGCGGCCCTCGGCCATTGAGCTGAAGGTGGAGGAGCTGGAAGAGAAGGGATTGATCCGTGTCCTGCGGGGGCCAGGAGATGCTGTCTCCATTGAGATTCTCCCTGTTGCTGTGGCAACTCCAAGCAGCGATGACGTCCCAGCTCCCGGGGTGGTGGCCAGCGGCGCCCCCAGCCCAGGTGCGCAGAGGCTGGAAGCATCTCCTACAGACAGCATTGGGGAGGGAGGCTTGGATCTTGGGGAGGGCGCAGTAGAATGGGCCCAGTGCGCATGTGTGGGGCGGGTGGTGAGGAGACCACCGCGGTAAGATACTGACGCGCGCTCTCCTACCCTTTCTCCGTTCAGATCTCCCACCAGCGGCAGAAACAGCTCCAGGAACAGTGTCCACGCCTCCACCCCCGCCCCCGCCCCCACTTCCAGGCATCAACCTCCCACAGGAAGCCCCACCCTCAGTGCCCCCGGATGCCCCACCACTCCCTGCCTGTTCAGACGTCCCACCTGCGCCTCCCCTCCCTGGAGTACAGCCACCCCCACCTCCGCCACCACCGCCGCCACCCTTGGGCACCGATGGACCTGTGCCACCGCCACCCCCACCACCTCCGGGAGGACCCCCTGATGCCCCTGGAGGGCCTGGCCTCGAGATGGGCCCAGGTGAGAGGACCCTGGGATCCTGGGCTCGGACAGCAGAGGGAGGGGATTGACTTCCCTTGTCTTCCAGGACATTTAGTCTTGGAGCCTGCCCTGCCAGGCTCTGCTGGGCCCTGGTGCTTCCAGACCACTCTTCCCCCTCCTGGTACTCTTCACTCCTCCCCTGTCCCAGGAGTTAAAGCCAAGAAGCCCATCCAGACCAAGTTCCGAATGCCGCTCTTAAACTGGGTGGCCCTGAAACCCAACCAGATCACGGGCACTGTCTTCACGGAGCTCAATGACGAGAAGGTGTTGCAGGTGTGTGTGGTTCTGCCTTGTCCCAGTGTGGGTCCCAGGCTCCAATCATGGTTGGCAGCTGGGTGGTCATCTCCTCCACCCCCTACTCTCCTGTTTTCACCCTGGCAAATTCCGGCTCTTCCTTTAGCTCTAATGGCCTGAGGTCAGGGCCTCTTCTTGATGTGCCTTCCCTGCCTCCCATGTGCCCCCTTATGCCCATTATAGCCTGAAGTTAATCTGAGTTACTGGTGCTCATTTCTTGCCCAGTGTCCTGGTCAGTGCCAGGTAGTTGGTTCTAACTGGTGCTCATTTCTTGCCCAGTGTCCTGGTCAGTGCCAGGTAGTTGGTTCTAGCATGGGGCACAGTCTTCCGGCTTTGGCTTCACCCAGCCCCGCCTCCTCTCCCTGATCCCTCAGGAACTGGACATGAGTGACTTTGAGGAGCATTTCAAGACCAAGTCCCAAGGCCCCAGCTTGGACCTTAGTGCCCTCAAGGGCAAAGCATCTCAGAAGGCCCCCACCAAGGCAACACTCATTGAGGCCAACAGGGCCAAGAACCTGGCCATCACCTTGCGCAAGGGGAACTTGGGCGCTGACCGCATCTGCCAGGCCATTGAGACGTGAGTACCCTCTGCCAGTCGAGGTCATCAAGTGGGCTCGAGTGAAAGAGCCCCAGCCACCGGACAGAGCCCATCAAGCCTCACCCCAGCCTTGGTCAGGGAACTGTGTCCCCATTTCAAAAAACGAAAGCTACACAGGCTGGGAAGTGCTGCGCCCTGTCTGTCTCCTTGCCCAGCTCTGGGCACACGGCCCCAGGTGTTTGCAGCCAGGTACCTGTCACTGTCGTATGGGGATGCAGGTTCTGCAGCTCCCAGTTTCTCTTGTTCCCTGGGGCTGTCAGCAAAAGGCCAAAGTTGAAGTTCATTTATTCAGTCCAGAAGGGAGGAAGCCCTGCTCAGGGGTAGGAGGGTGTGGAGTGACACCCCTGCTACACATACAGGTACGACCTGCAGACCCTTGGCCTGGATTTCCTGGAGCTGTTGACCCGCTTCCTGCCCACGGAGTATGAACGCAGCCTCATTGCACGCTTCGAGCGGGAGCAGAGGCCAATGGAGGAGCTGTCGGAGGAAGACCGCTTCATGCTGCGCTTCAGCCGGATTCCACGTTTGCCTGAGCGCATGTCGACACTCACCTTCCTGGGCAACTTCCCGGACACGGCCCAAATGCTCATGCCGGTGCGGTGCCGCCAGGGGGCAGTGTGGTGTGGCTTGGGAGGAGAGAGCGAGACAGAGAGAGATAGCGAGAGACAGAGACGCGCACACACAGAGTGACAGAGAGACAGAGAAATAGTGAGACACACACACACACACACAGAATGACAGAGAGATAGAGATAGCGAGAGACAGACACACACACACAGAGTGACAGGGAGAGAGACAGAAATAGCGAGAGACAGAGACACACACAGAGTGACAGCGAGAGACGGAGACACACACAGAGTGACAGAGAGATAGAGACAGGGAGATAGAGACAGAGAGAGATAGCGAGAGACAGAGACACACACAGAGTGACAGAGATAGAGACACAGAGTGAGAGACAGACACACACACAGAGTGACAGAGAGAGATAGCGAGAGACAGAGACACATACACACACAGAGTGACAGAGAGAGTGAGAGACAAGAGAGAGGAGGCAGCCCAGTCAGGGCTCCGAGGAGGGGTCTGGGAGTTTGTGAGCTTGTGGAGGTTTGTGAGGATGGGGGTTGTTCCCCACAACTCACCTTGCCTTCCCTTCCCACACCCAGCAACTGAACGCCATCATTGCAGCCTCAATGTCCATCAAGTGCTCAGACAAACTCCGCCAGATCCTGGAGGTGAGAGGCCAGAGCTTGCCTGCTCTCGGTAGGCTTAGGGGGAGGCCAGGCCCTTAGCTGCAAATCTAGGGTGCAACATAGATGGAGTCCTCACCTGTCACATACACATCTTCAGTGTCACTTCAGAAGGACAGAGCTGGGGTGAGGAAGTCGTTGGCTTAGATGCCCTGTCTATGATGGGATCCTCCTGAGAACTCAGTCACTCTGTGATGTGGGAGTCAAGTCTCACTGCCTCACAGAGTCAAGGAAATCGGTGTCAGAAAGGTGACCCCACAGCCTAGGATGGGGTGTTGGCATGAGTGTCAGGGAGAAGTGGTGGAGGACCACACTGCCAACCGTGCACACATGTCAAACATGGATCCTTGCCGGGGTGCAGTGAGCACTGAGTGGGGGGGCTTGGCTTCCACCATCTTTGTTCTTGTTCTTTCAACACTAATGGGGGCACATCCTCCCCAGCATACCCTGAGCTCTCTCTGCCCCTCCAGATCGTCCTGGCCTTTGGCAACTACATGAACAGCAGCAAACGTGGAGCAGCCTATGGCTTCCGACTGCAGAGTCTGGACGCGGTGAGGGGGCCAAGGAGGGACCTCTAGTGTGGGGGGTGGGGCTGGCTGGTGGCCGATAGCTTATGACAGGCCCTTGTGCAGCTACTGGAGATGAAGTCAACTGACCGCAAACAGACACTACTGCATTACCTGGTGAAGGTCATCGCAGAGAAGTACCCCCAGCTCATGGGCTTCCACAGTGACCTGCACTTCCTGGACAAGGCAAGCGCAGGTGAGCAGCCTCTGCAGGAGAGGGGCCTCTGACCGCTGGGTGAGGGGAAGGGCGGATTGGGGAATGGCGGTGGGGGGGGGACCACAGGATGCCTGTGATTGAGCTGGGAGTTCTGCTGGGAGTCTCTGACTCCTGTACTGTTTGCTGTCTCTGCCCCAGTGTCCCTGGACAGTGTCCTGGGGGACGTGCGCTCCCTGCAGCGAGGTCTGGAGTTGACTCAGAAGGAGTTTATGCGACAGGATGACTGCCTGGTGCTCAAGGAGTTCCTGAGGGCCAACACACCCACTATGGACAAACTCCTGGCAGACAGCAAGACGGCTCAGGTGCTGGGGCTGGGGAGACTGGGATGAGGGGCATACAGAGAGAGGGACCGAGGTCTGAGTGGGGTGTGTGGGGGATTGTGCCTCAGCTGGGATACCAAGGGAGGGATGAAGCTGCTCGTCTGAGGGACCAGGGAAGAGATGGCTGATGGGTATCTTGTGGGGGTGGGGGGCTGAGCAGTGGTTAGGCTGTGTGGGGTCCAGGCTGATGAGCTGTGTCCGCAGGAGGCCTACGAGTCCGTGGTGGAGTATTTCGGGGAAAATCCCAAGACCACCTCCCCCTCCATGTTCTTTTGCCTCTTCAGCCGTTTCATCAAGGCGTACAAGGTCTGTGTGTTGGTGGGTGGACTGGGAACCCCCGTGGGACATAAAGGGCTCTTCATATGGGTACGGGAAGGTTGGGACCACATCTTTCTTGGAGGTGGGTTGGGAAAATAGGAAGGGCTCACCTCATGGAGAACTGCCCTCGACCCCCAGAAAGCCGAGCAGGAAGTGGAACAGTGGAAGAAAGAAGCAGTTGCCCAGGAGGCAGGCATGGATGCCCCCGGCAAAGGGGAGCCCTCAGCCCCCAAGGTAGGCAGTGGCCCCTGAGCCTATGCAGGGATGCCCCGCATCCAATCCTCTAGTCCCCTTTGAGCTGTCACTACATGGATGGGCCCTGCTGTGGACCAAAGTGGTGCCCCAAGGGTCTGCTCAAGCCAGCTGCCTTTGCTCTGTGTGTGGGACACCAGACAGAAGCCCTGAGGCTTGGGGGTGGGGGGCTGAGAGGATCCTGAGCTGGAGCTGTGCACCCCCAGTCCCCCCCCAAGGCCCGGCGGCAGCAGATGGACCTCATCTCAGAGCTGAAGCGGAAGCAGCAGAAGGAGCCACTCATCTATGAGAGTGACCGCGATGGGGCCATTGAAGACATCATCACAGGTTAGGGCTCTGCGGGGCGTCTGTGTTGTTCTCAGTCTGTCTTTCAGTGCTGTCCTCATCTCAGTCCCCTTCGGAAGGGGTGTCTGGCTGCCTCACTACCTCTTGCTACTTTTTCTGTATTTTTTTTTTCTCTCTCCGCTTCCCTTCTTCCTCCTACCTCTCCGACCTTCAGTGCTCAAGACGGTGCCCTTCACGGCCCGCACCGGCAAGCGGACATCCCGGCTCCTCTGTGAGGCCAGCCTGGGAGAGGAGATCCCCCTCTAGTCCCCCAGGTATCTGGAGGACCTAGCCTCTGACACCAGTGCCCTCAGCCCCTAGGGAGTGGGGCACTGCATGGCTGGGGTGTGTTTGAGGGGGGTTGGTAAACAAACAGTTCCCCTTCATGTACATGCAGTCTGGGTCCCTAGAAGGGTGAGGGCTGTGCTTTAGAGTGGGAACTCTGCTCTGGGCAGTTCCTAAAGGTTGTGTTTCATCTCTTGGTCACCAGATTTGCGGAACCAGCCCTACATCCGCACTGACACCGGCCGTCGCAGTGCCCGCCGGCGTCCTCCGGGTCCCCCCCTGCAGGTCACCTCCGACCTTTCGCTGTAGCCGCTATTCCCTCAGATGGACTCTGCTGGGGATGGGGTCCTGGGTAGGCCTGGTTCTCAGGGAAGGTGGTCCTCAGCTCGGCTGGGCCGGGCAGCGCCCTCCTCTGCTGGCCCCACCCTGAGCCAGCACTTCCCTCTCTTGCCACAGGGGGCAGCATCGTGGGCCTCTCCCCGCAGTGCTGCTTGCAGCAACCCCTCTCCCCCAAAGCCATACTTAGCCCTAGTGGGAGCCTGGCCTGTAACTTATAAAAGTGCGTACTCGCCCCGCCCCCTGAGCCCTGGGGACTCTCCATGGACCTTATTTTTATACAAGATAAATAAAGATGTTTGCAAAAGATGTGCGTCCGTCCCGTGCTTGCCCCTGGGTTGCAGCCTGGTTTTCCTCTGCAGACTCTTGTGCAAAGTCTTGGGGTCAGGTCTCTATAAACAGGCGGGCGGAGGGGATCAAGGCTGCTTCTGCATCAGAGTGGACGGAGAGGGCAGAAGCTTCAAGGGGGTAAGTACACTCTAATCTCTGTTCCTTGAACCCTGCTGTGGGGTGGAAGGGGGGTGAGGATCAAGCAGGCAGCTTGGAGCTGTGTGTGTGTGTGGAGACTGATTAGCACGATGCGAGTCGAGTCCGTCTGCCTTTATGCAACCCGCCGCTCTCCACAGACCCTTCGCCCCTTCCCTATGCCATGTCCCCTACTCTTCACTTACATGCTCACCTTCAGCTTTTACACCTGTCCTTGTCCCCTTCTGCTTTTACTCCTCGCCTGTCCCTTGCCCGCCCTGCCTTTACACCTGGTGGCCAGGCTTCCCTTGTCCTAGCGTGACCCTTTCTGTCCACGCCTATTGCCTATGCCTCCTGTCCTGCCCCTGTTGCCCAGGGCTCTTCACTAGCTCCTCCCATTACCTGCCTGCTCCGCCCACTCCACAGGTTCTCTCTCACCTGGGCGAAGCTGATGCTGGCTGCTCCAGTGGCTGGGTTGGTAGGCCTTGGGAAATGGGATGACGGGACAGTACTGCGTTCTGGTTGCATCCACAGGGCCAGATTTGGTATCTTTGAGAAGGGCCTGCACGCACCTGGACTGAGGCACCAGCAGATGCCTGAGGCTAAAGCCAGGGTGAAGGATGGGGAGTGGTTGGGAGAGTCTGCTCCCCCAGATCCCACCCCATGCTTCCTGCCCTTCTGGTGCCCTGCCCGAGCGCACCTGCTTTGTGTAGTTTGTGCAGCGAGCACACCAGCTGGCCGCTGGAGAGGCCGCTGATAAAGGTGCTGGGCCTGGCAGAAGAAAGAGAGGCCAGCAAGGAAGAGCGAGGCACGACCGACTGTGGCGGCCGAACTGGTCCCTCCAGCGAGGTTTAAGTGCAGAGCCTGATGCTTCTTGGATGCTTGCTTTAAGGCTCGATGTGGAAGGAGGGGCCGCAGCCTTAGACACTGCCCCACCCCGGCCTTCTCCATCTCACACTCCTCCTTATTGGAAACTCATAGTTGACCCTCTGGTGAGTTTTTGCGCGAAAGGAGGTTGCCCATCTTTCTCTCGCTGAGCCACTGGTGGATTCCAGCTGCCAGACAGGCACCGCCTCTAGGTTAGCAGCTCAACCATCTGTCCACTAGGGCGCCAGTTCACAAGGGTGGTGGTGGTGGTATGTGCTGTCGAGTCATCTGCGACTCATAGCCACCCTGTGTACAACAGCTTTAAACACTGCTCTATCCTGTGTCGATCTCACCATCTCTGACACACCTACCCCTATTACCCCAGTTACTGAATCAATCCATCTCATAGAGGGTCTTCCTCCCCTGCGCTGTCCCTCCACCCTCCCAAGCATGACGTCCCTCTCCAAGGACTGGTCCCTTCTTGCAACATGTCCAAAATATGTCAGACGAAGCCTCAGAATCCTTGCCTCCAAGGAGGAGCCTGGCTTCACCCTCTCCAGGACAAACTTGTTCGTTGAGGAAACCAAAATAAGACTTGAAGGCATTTGCCACTGGCCTTGGGGGAGTTGGGGGTCCAGTATTTCCACTTGTGGGACAAGGTCTGCTCCAAGTACTCTATCTTGAAGTGGGGAAGTGGTAATCGTCAGTCCATCTCATCACTTCCTGCATCAGCTTGGAGGGTACAAAGCCCTGGCCCAACGGCTTGAACAGGATATCAAAGAAGAGGGTCTGCAAGTCCTGGGGGTCAGAGATCAGGCTATTCCCCACCCAGCTTGGGGACAGAGAGCATGGGGAGGTGGTGAGGAAGGACCTTCACTGGCTCAGAGGTGGTGAGGAAAGACCTTCACTGGCTCAGGGCTCCCACTGCCCAGCAGACCTGTCCTTCACCCAGGCACTGTGAGAAATGGTAGTTGTCAGTGAGAAAGTCCTTCAAGTTCATAGTGTCATCACCTGGGGGAGACAGTGCTGTGATGTGTCCTGCAGAAGGCTTCTGTGGCATGGAATTTAGGGCCTTGCTGGCAAGATGCCAGACTCTGGGGTTAGAGACTCTCCGTTTGAAAGGAGAGAACTCTCCCTCGCCCTGAGAGACTTCCAAGTCTAAATGAGAATGAACACATTGCAGGAGTGTTTAGGTTAGGGTAGGTGTATCAATCTGGGTGGGCTTCCTGAAAGAAGGAACTTTAAAACTAGGACAGGTTTTGTGAGCAAAGGAAGTATTTTTCAGGCCTGGGATAGGAGACCATGTGAGGACACCCACCATCCAAGTCTGCCTGTCACAGAGCTTCACACATCTCCAGTGGGCTCGGCTGGATACCCACATTGCTTAGGACAGTTTTCATGCTGTGCAAGTCCACAGCGCCTACCGGGCAGTTGAAGACATCCTGGGAAGCTATGGGTGGCGGACAGTGAGATAAATTTACATGGAAGTCCTGAGACCCCTTACTCTCTTGCTCTAGTTCACTTAGGACCTAGGCCTTGGGTCACTCCAACCCTCCAAGTGTTGTGCTTTTAATATGAACTGTGGTCACTGTGTTTCGTTAGGGGCAATGCTGACCCTACAGTCCAGCTCTGAGTTACAGTACTCTGCATGTCGCTGACACTGAAAGTTGATGAGCAAAAATGACTTTGACTTGAGGGCCCCCTGCAATGTTAGAACATGCTCTTTGGGGATGTTCCCTACTTCTGCAGAAGCAGATTCTTACAGAGCACTCAGTTTTCTTCCATTATTTCTTCCTCTCTCCCTCTTCGTACCTAATTTTGTTCATTAATTCTTCCACCCATTCACTAATCCATCCAGCACTAACACACACACACACACACACACACACACACACACACACACACACACACCCCTTTCTGGACCATGCACACAGCACTGGGCTCAAGCAGTTGATGACTGGCATGAAAAGAAGGTTCAAATCCAGTAGAATAATCACTGCTTCCTGTAGTGACCCTAGCCAGGCAACTCCTTATAAAGCTGTCCTGAGCACCTCTTCTTTTTCTAGCCCTAGAGCCTTCACCTGCCAGCTGTCCAGGCGTCAAGTTCTCATCTGTCAAACTGCCAGTGGGGAAAAGGTTGGCAAAGGCCTTGCACCTGCTACAGAGACACGCCGGAGCCAGGCAGAGCTCACCCAGACCCAGAGCTCCAGGCTGGACTCCAGTCCCTGCCCTCACCTCTGGGCCTTCATGCTTGGATGTGGTTACACTTGACCGGTATCTCTAAGGTCCTTCCTCACCCATCTTGTAGGCTGCTTGGCCCCCTTGACCATGGCCGTTTTTCCAGCTTTAAGGGGCTCAACTGGCAGCCTGGGACATCTGCAGCTTCCTCTTCTTCACTCTGTCCACCTGCTCCTCCCCCCAATCTCTTGAGAGTAATCTTTTAGGCTCTTGTGGCAGCTTTGGGAATAGGGAGAAGATAAGCTGGAGGGACCTAGCTCACTTTCCCTATTCTCACTCTAGGGGCATGCAGGATCCCTAACCCAGGCTGAGCCCACTTTCATGGACACTGATGGTGCACATGGGGCAGTACGTCCCAGGGTGGGGGCCCAGAACACTCCCTGCCCTGTCACCTGCACTGTCTCTGTGGAAGGCAGGGTCACAGGCTCTGAGGCTACTCCTTGGCCCAGGGCTGAAGCCTCAGGAGGACTGTGTTGCGTGGTTTAGGATATTTTGGTCAGTTGTGGGGGGCACACACTCTCATTCACTCCAGGCCTGTCCATCCTTGCCAGGAACACCTGCTGCGTCCCTCTTAAGGTACCCTGGATGATGCCCAGTCAAAATGGCAGAGGTCCAGAGGGCAGGTTATATGGGCCCTGCCCCAGCTCCGAGGGAAAGACACCCCCCCTCCACGAGGCAATGCTAACCCACAAACCAGATTTTAAAACAAGCCCAGGAGGATGCATTCCAACAGCCTAAGTGCTTCTTGCTCAGGTCCTCTCCAGACATAGGCCTCTGGCTTCCTCCGTGGCCCTCTTGTGGTCTGGTCCCCTCCTCCAGCCTCCTGCCCCTTCCCCGCCTGGCTCTAGCCCATTTGTAGGCCTCATTCTCCCAGGCCCTGCACCTAGTCTGAGCAGGCCCTTGAAGTTCTGCAAGGCTGAGTTTTTACTTGGCAGAGAAACTGAAACCCGGAGTGGATGGTGATTCAACAAGCCTCCCTCCTCTTTCCCAGAATTCTCTTGTGTCTGACCCCAGGCTGCTGTCTCTGCTCGAAGTCTCCCACGTTGTCATTTTTTTTTGGCGTTTCAGCCTGAAATGAGTGCATTTGGGTACTTGTTTTGGATGTGTCTGGGCCACAGAGTATGTGTGATGTGGAGTTCCTATATGTGTGTGTTTCAGTGGGCGCCTGCATGTGTGCTATGCTGGCCAGGTGATGGTATGTGCACGTGTGTGTGCATGTCTCTGGACTGCACTTGGCTGTGCACTGTGACACACAGTGATCTCCATTTTGGGGTGCCTCCAGACTAAGGTGTCACCCTCACTTCCTCTTTCCTTCAAGCCCCTGGACATCATCCCACCCTGTGACCATGCCTTCCCTGTGGAGAAAAGCAGACAGAACTAATTTCCTTCATACTTGGCCTGTTTGGTCACCCTAGATGGCCCCTTTCTTAGAGCCACACCCCGATTCTGACGCATTTAAAGTCCCCATTTTGTTGTCTGAAGAACTGAGGCACCATCCCAATACAAATACCAATTTCATTCTTCAATGAGATGGAAAAGGCAATCTCCAGCTTCATTTGGAATGGAACGAAACCACGAATAAGCAAAGCACTTCTTAAAAATAGAAACAAGGTAGGAGGCATCTCACTTCCTGATTTAAAATCCTACTACACTGCCGTGGTAGTCAAGACAGCATGGTCCTGGTACAATGACAGACACATAGATCAATGGAATTGAATTGAGAACCCGGAAATCAGCCCATCAATTTATGGTCAACTGATTTTTGACAAGGAGATGAAATCAGGCAAGTGGGGAAATGACAGCCTTTTTAACAAATGGTGTTGACAAAATTGGAAATCTATCTGCAGAATAATTAAACAAGATCCCCACCTCACTCCATATTAAAAAACCAACTAACTCAAGGTGGATCATGGACCTAGGACTAAAATCAAGGACTATAAACTTCATTCAAGAAAAGCTTGGAAGAACTTTAGTAGTCCTAATCTACAACATAAAGAGTCTTCCAAGTATTCTGAAAAATTTACAACCAGGAGAAGATAAAATAGATGAATGGGACCTTCTAAGAATCAAATCCCTATGCACATCCAGAAACTTCTCTAATAGGGTAAAAAGGGAAGCCACAGACTGGGAAAAGTGTTTGGTAATGACATGTCAGATAAGGAATTTATAAATTTAGAATTTATAAAATACTTGAGCACCACAAGATAAAGGTGAATAATCCAATTGAAAAATGGGCACAGGATATGAACAGACACTTCACCAAGGAAGACATTCAGATGGCCAACAAGCACATGAAGAAATGTTCAAAATCCCCAGCTCTGAGAGAGATGCAAATCAAGACAACTATGAGATATCATCTCACCCCAGTAAGACTAGCAACATTTAACAGAACAGCAAGCAACAAATGCTGGTGAGGTTGTGGAGAGACTGGAACACTTATTCACTGTTGGTGGGAGTGTAAAATGATGCAACCACTCTGGAAAGCGATGTGGCGCTTTCTCAAAAAGTTGCAAATAGAGATACCATTTGACCCAGCAATTCCACTACTGGGAGTATACCCTAAAGAGACCATAAATGGCACCCAAGTAGATATATTCATACCCATGTTTATTGCGGCTTTGTTTACAATAGCAAAGAGTTGGAAACAACCCAAATGCCCATCAACAAACGAATGGGTAGAGAAGCTGTGGTATATTCGCACAATGGAATATTATGCTGCATTGAAAAACAAGGAACTCATGCAATATTATTCAAAATGGGTGACCCTGGAGGACATTATGCTGAGTGAGGTATCTTAGTCACAAAGGGACAAATGCTATATGGTGCCACTGTTGTATAATGAGGCTGACATCGGGATGGGGGTAAGACTGAGAAAAACTGGATTAAATATGTTTATGGCATTGAAGTCTTTGGGGGAGAGAATATTTTCTATTTTAGGGCATTATGTTTATCGTAAGAGTACGGAATGAGGGTTGCAGAGTGGATTATATTTGAGGTTATGGGGTGTGTGTGGGGGGATTGCATACCAATGAGGGAGTTTTTCTTTTGCGTTTGAAGGAGAGGAGCAAATGGGGGGGCAGGGAGAGGGGTGCAACAATGAATGAATGGAATTCCAAAATCTCTGTAGATGTTCACTGAAATGAAAAATAAAGAAATTAAAAAAAAAAGAACTGAGGCACCAGAGAAAACAGCAGACTTCCCCCCCAGCCCCTCCCCATTGGCTAGTCATAAGTCTTCATGCCTCACAGGAGGGCATAAAGCGCACAGGCGAGCAGAGCAGGTAGGAAATATGCGTCAAGGAAAGACCAGAAAGCTCTTGGGACTGCTGGGGCACTGGGGTGCCTGAGAGGGAAGGTGGCATCCCTAAAAAAGCCCAGCCCAGGGTGCAGCAGCCCGGCATGCATGCGCAGTCCAGTAGTGTTTTTATTAAGAGTCCGAGTGAGACGAGCCTAGCACTGGAGGCTTTACTGAATTTTTCTAGTCATTTCTGTAGGGAAGAGGGAGATGACAACTTAAAGTGGATTTTCAGCAATAACGGATTCCGTTTCCTGGTTCCCGGCACCGAGCTGCAATACAAAAGACAAGAGTGTCACTTGGGCCCTGGTGGGAGGGTAGGGGTGGGGGCAAAGAGAAGAGGAAAAAGGCCTTTTGAGAGGATTGGGGACTGGAGGGTCTCTTCCTATTGCTATAGCTGACAGCTAGCCAGCTTCCCATGCATCACCAGGCAGCAAGGGTGCTGGAGAACTCATATCCTCACTCTGTCCTCCATGGGATTGTCTTGGATCCTAGGGTCTCCCGAGGGCTGGCTCTAGCACTTCTGATGTGGGTAAGACCATCTAGTCCCTGGGTGGGAGGGATGGGAGGCCTACTGCTAGAACAGCTTTTCCCATTTTGACCCCTGCTTCCTGTCCTGACCTTAAAGGGACTCACCCTCCATGGTCCCTGGACCTCCAGTGGCACTGGCCTTGCGTGTCACCTCAGTCCACAGTCTTTGGTGAGGTCACTGAGTTGGAAACATCATAGCCCTCCCCCTGCCCTGTTGGCTCCTATTCTGCTTGTTCCCCACCTCCACCCTGGGTGAGGAATGGGGTGTGCCCACAAGAACTAGCACAGCCCCACTTCAGGGTGCTGCCAGGCAGGCCCTCACTTACTCTCTCCTGTCTCTCCGAGGCGGTGTGGGCCAGACTGGTGGTTGCAGAAACTTGACCTCCCCTTGAATCATGGCCTTCCTGGTGCCTGGCTTGTTGAAGTCCAGGCTAGTGTGGGAGAAATCTTTGCATTCCTCATTCCAAACACTTTGTGGCTCACCAGCTTCAAGTGGTTTCTCTGGTGGTAACTCCTCAGGCTTTTGTAGCTCTGGCTCCTTCCTGGTGGGCTGGGCAGGAAGAAGTTCCTTGGGAGGCTCTGTACAAGGCTCCACAGCCTGGCGCGAAGATGCTCTGATTAAGTGCTCCAAGGTGGGCAGTTCCTTGCTGCTGGAGGCCGTGACCAGGGACGATGCAAAGTTGATTAACTCAGGCAGGCCAATAGCCTTTGGGAGAGTGGAGGAGGCCGAAGGGGGGCTTGATGGTGCCTCCTGGGAGCTTGTGTTTGAAGGAAATTCCTGGGCTTTGCGGTTCTGCAGCTCGTCCTGAGAGCAGAGAGTGTCCCTGAAGATAGCCTCGTGGCCCACATGGCGGGGCTGGGGCTCCTCCTTAGAGCACTGAGTGCCCTTGGAGATGGTCTCGTGGCCCACATGGCTGGAAGTTGGCTGGTCTGTGATGTCCTTGTAGTTCACCTTACTCAGTGCCTGTTCTATGCTGTGTTCTGAGGCCTGGAGGTCCTTCTCTGCCCAGAAGAGGTGGTTGGAGGTCTGCACGCAGATGGAGCGGTGGTTCATGGACCCTGGCTCCTCCTCTAACTCCAGGTAGTTCGGGCTGAACTTGAGGGTGCACAGGCTGAGGTTCTCCTCCTCCCAGGAGGAATCGGGCTCGGCTCTCACATTCAGCTCTGGCTCTTCGTCTGACACTGGCTCAGGCTCATATGGTTTGATGTCGAGGTCTGCCTCTTCCTCTGAGTCCAGGTTTGGGTTCAGGTTCAGGTCCAGGTCCGGATCTGCTTCCATCTTGGACATTACCACATGGTCTAGCAGGACATCTTGTACATCTTCCCCCTAAAAGAGTAGATCTGAAAGCTGAAGAAGCAAGAACCAGAGGCCCTTGCTCCCGAGAGCCCCCCCACCCCCAGAATACTCTCACTTCCTCCCCAACACTTGCACCTTCAGCAGAGATTTGGGTGGGAGGTAGTATGGGCAGGTGATGAAAGTGGGCGTGTGTGAATGTGCCCACGTTAGCCTGATGCCCCTGGTAACCCTAACCGTAACCCTAACCGTAACCCTAACCCTAACCCTAACCCTAACCCAGACTTGTCAAGAGAAAGGACGGAACAGGATTGAGGGCAGATGAGTCTCAAAGAATCCTGTTTCTGCCTACCCGTATGAGGGGGCCCTGCCCGCTGTTACCTCCATCTCATCTTCCCCTTGGTCCAGCGGGGACTCAAATTGGTGTGGAGGTAAGAAACTCCTGCAATAGAGGGAGACAGAGTGGGTAAAAGGGCTTTGGGGATGGGGCAGGGTAGATTTAGTGGGAAAGGGGATTCTCTAGGCCTTTGTGTGCAGAGGCTGCCAAGATATCTCCCGCCTCATCTCCTCCCCTGGCTGCCCTGCTCCCACCAAGAATTCTAGAGTGGTATTCTCAAACCTGAGTGAATGTAGGGAGCTCCTGGAGAGCTTATTAACTCTCTCCTCCCTCAAGGGGGTGTCTTTAGGTGGTTGGAGGGGGAGCATGTTCTGTGCTGTGTCCTTCATCAGGTACTCCAGGTGAGCTGAGGTGAGGGGTTCTCTTAGCTCACTTGGAAAACCAGTGCTCCGGAAGAGGGTGCCTGAGGAATTTGGCAGTAGTTGCAGGGGCAAAGTCAAAAGTTCTGGAGGGTGAGGGGTGAGGGGGTCCTAGAATAATATGGGTTGGTTCTCACTGTGTATCCACAATGTTCACGGACTGCTTGCTGCAACAAGGAAATCCACTGGCACCTGGCAGGGAGAAGAAGGTGAGGTCGAGGGAGCTGAAGGCAGGGGGACAGTCTGTGGGACTCCGGAGCCAGGCTTGGGCACTCTACCTCAAGCTGCCCCTCCCCTCCTTCCCTGTCCCTTATTTCAGCCCTTTTATCATCTTCTCTCGTGTTCTCTCCCTCTTCCCTCTCCATTGCCAGAGACACTAGCTCTATCTTTCACTCTACTCTCCTCCACCCTTTGTCTCCTCCAACTCTCCTTCCCTCCATCACTGTCCTCCATAAAGACTAAGGCTAACAGCATTAAGTCCCACTGAAGAGGGGATGTAATTGTCAATGTCAGGTGAATCTTGGCTGAAAGGAGAGACTGCAAGAAAGATATTATAGTCACTGTCAGTCTCACTGATGGTCTTCCTGAAGATATTTACCTGTATTTTATTGACTATGCAAAGCATTTGACTATGTATATCACAACAAATTATGGGCCGCATTGCAAATAATGGGAATCTAAGAACATGTGTGTCCCTGTGGAGCCTGTTACATTGACCAAGAGGTAGTTGTTCAAACGGAACAGGGGAGAAATGAAAGCCCAAACAAAATCACAACAGGGGAACATTATATATTCTAAAACCAGAAAAGGTGTGTATTAGGGTTGTATCCTTTCACCAGAACATGTTTAATTGATCCTTTCATATTAAACTGAACTATATGCTGACCAAAGAGTCTGAGAATGTGAACTATGTGAAGATGCATGGAGCAGCATGATTGGCGGAAGACTCATTAACAACCTGCAGTGTGAAAGTGACACAACCTTACTTGCTGAAAGGGAAAAAGACTTGAAGCACCTACTTCATCGTTACAGATCAAAGACTACGTACGTAGCCGTCACTGTGTAATACACCTTGACACCAAGAAAACAAACACCCTCACAATTGGTCCAGTCAGCAACATCATGACTAAATGGAGCCAGGACTGAAGTTATCAAGAATATAGTTTTGTTTAGATCTACAATCGACACCTGTGGAAGCAGTAGCCAAAAATTCAAAACAGCGCATGGGGAAAATCTGCTGCAAAAGTTCTTTAAAATGGTGTAAAAAAAAAGATGTCATCTTGAGGATTAAAGTGTCTGACCAAAGTCATGGCCTTTTCAGTCACCATATATGTGTGCAAAGGATGGACCGTGAATAAGGAGGATAAAAGAATGAATGCATGTCACTAATGGTGTTGGAAACGAGTGTTGAGTGTGTCAAGGCCTGCCGGAAGAATGGAGAGAGCTGTCAGAGAGGAGGTTTAGCTAGTGTGCTCTGTAGAAATAGGGATGGTGAGACTTGGTTCACACACATTCTTTGGACATTTGGTCCAAAATTGGTCGTGGAGAGGGACATCATATTGTTGCTCTTATGTGCTGTTGAGTTGATAGGAGACGAAGTTTCACCATTCTCTAAAGAGCACCTGGGTTGAATGTGAGTAGCAACGCTTGTTAGAGGGTCAGAGGAAAAGAAGGCGGCCTTCAACCACATGGATTGACACAGTGGGTGCAAATGGGATGAAATACATCAGTGATTACAAGGATGGTACAGGACTGGTCAGTGTTTCACTTTGTTGTACACAGAGTGGCTCTGAGTTAGAGTCTATGTAAAAGAACATCATCATCATCATCATCATCAACAACAACAACATAATTAATCTACCAGATTTGAGCCTAGAGGATCTTGGATCTATTGGTGTAGCTATGAGATCCCAATTAGAGATCTAGACATGAATTGCATTACTATACATGGATCCCCAGTGGGATCTCTTTATACCTATTTCCTCACTACCAAATTCCCTTACTTACGTCTTTATCTCCTTTTCTGCCTGCCCTAAATGCTGCCACTCCTCAGGCTCTGACTTCACAGCCTTCTTTTACCTGCTTTACAAAGTTTCCGTGTGCAATTTAATCAATACTCACCCTCAACCCTTCCCTAAACAGCAACTGGATGTAGGCAGGAGGAGAGACTAACATGGTATGAACTGGAAGTAAGTATCTGGGAGTGACTCAGCTTGGGATCTATGCACTTGACTTGGAAAAATTCTACTAGGGATTCCAGTGATGATCAGAAGTATTTGAAGTAACTGCAATTTCCAATTGTTTGCTGTTGTTGTTAGGTGCCATCAGGTGGACCATGACTTAGCCGTCTATGAACAATAGATCTCAACCCTGCCCTATCTGGTGTCATCTGTAGTGTTATAGTCACTGTGTCACACCATCTCATTGAGGGGCTTCCTTTCCTTTGCTGACCCTTCATTATATAGAAATAGATTGATCTTGTATCCTACAATCACCCTAACATTGACTTTAGTAGCTTTTCTTTATATGTATATTCCATAGATTTTTTTAAATAGACAATTGTATGATTCAAGATAGTTGTCTTTTTTTCACTCTTGGAAAAAAAGTCTTCTTTTATTGTACTGGCAACAGTCTTTAGTACAATGTTGAACAGAAGTGGTGAGAGTAGAGATTCTTATTTTATTTCTGTGTTTGGGGGAAACAGTCAATCTTTCACCATTAAGCATGTTGTCAGCTGTACCTTATACCTTAGACGCACTTTATCAGGTTGAGGAAATTCCCTTCTATTCTTAGTTCAAACAGGTTTGCAATTAGGAATGGATGTTGTTTTTCCCTAACACTTTTTCTGCACTTATTGAGATGTGCATATGATGTTGATGGTGATTAATCTTATTATTATATGGGCCAGGAGTTTCTTTGTGAGAAGTCAGTAGAATTATAAATTAGATTTTTAAAACTGGATACAGGACTATTTTTTTTCCTTGAATAAGCTTCTGGAGTTTGTATCTTTTAGGGAATTGACTTAATCTACATCATCAAATTTATTGGCTGAAGTTGTTCTTAATAATCCTTATTATCTTTTTCATAGCTATTGAGTCTGACCACAAGAGACTCTATTTCTTACTTCTGTTGTCTTCAGAGCTCCAAACCCAAACACTCATCACTATCGCATATGGAGGGAATTCCAAGTCCCCTGGTCCCCTGTCCCATACCCTCTGCTGGCGGAGAAGCCATCTCCTCTCTCTGGAGTTCTTTCTGTCTTTTATCAGTGATGCTACTGGGGACTCACCTTTTCCTGAAGACCCCCCAGAGTTTCCTCCATGGCCTTGGATTACAAGCTTCTCTTCCAGTAGCCCCTTCTTGACCCAAGAGACCTCTGTCTGGGCACATGGCCCCTTGTGACCCCTCAGTTAGAAGAGGAGGGTTTTTGTGAGCTGATTCCCAGCATAGTCTGGCCTGAGGTGAATGTGCAGCAAATGCATGTGCAGGTAATTGAATTTGTTCTTTTTCACACTGCCAAACCCTCCTGCTGTTCCTCCTCCATTCCCTATCTCAAGTTCACACACTGCTTGTGTAGACTGTGGCATGGCCAACATGGCAGAAGCCTGTCTTGGCCCTGTCTTCCTTTTCAGTCTCAACTGCCTTTTACATGGTATGACTTGTTTTTCCTCATCGTTTGATAACCAGTTTCCTAATCCAAATCCAAGCTGCCCTAGTACATGGCATGCTTTTCCATGCATGCTTCAGTGCCTTTGCACATGCCATTGCCTAGACCTGGAAAGTATTTCTGACAAAATCCTTCTCATATCTGAACGTTCAACTCCAATTTTCAGCGCCATTTCTGAGACTAAACTCTCCAACTTACATTTACTACCAAATCAACTCATCAGACTCAGGGCCTCAAGACCCATCACAAGCGTAAACTTACAAGGATTGCAATAATGTTCCAGGAGTAGATCTGTTACTCCTGGGATTGGGTCAGGGAGAAACTGCTCTCTGGTTGTTGACATTTGGCACATTTTCAACATTGGCTCACGTCCTCCTGGGCGTGAAAGTCCCAAGAAGAAAAGCCCCCTTGCAATGGGGATCTGAGCCCCATTTGCGAAAGGGAGACCCAGAGGCAAACATCTTCATTCATGGTGATCCCAGCACACAAGCAACAGGAGGAGGCCTACAGGGGGCGCTCAAGGATACGACTCCACCCAGTGGCAAAAAGCACGAGCATCAACCAGGGGCAAAGGGCAGAGGGATGCATTTGGATGACCTGCAGTTTTGGCTACTTCTTGAGCTGTTTTGTGGGCATAATCCTGCCCCATTCCTGGACCTAGGGCCCCACCAAGCATCGGCGGATGGTTACCCTGGGAGTTACTTGTGCGCCCGTGCACATTTGTGCACGTTGCAGCGGCGCCGTCTTGGTGAGGAGGTCCCGACAGCAGCTGTCTCCTAAACCAGGGACGGCAGGGGTTTGGCTGCGCCACTTCCTTTCTCAGAGCTTATAGTTGTCTCTAGCAGATTGTTCGCCACCTCCTGCTCTCCTCCCCCGTCCTTAGCTCATCTCCCGCCCTCTGTCCTTAGGTGCCCCGGCTGCTCCCACCTGTCACCCCCATGCTGATCGATGGAGGCTGTTGGGGAGGCGGGGAGCTGGCTGGTGGATGCTGCCCCTCCGCCTCCAGCGCGCGCTCGGGCTGGAGATGCGGGGAGGGCGGTGGACATGCTAGTCTGCGCCTATGATGTCGCTGCCTCTGTGACGTCCAGGGAGACCACCCGTGGGCACGCAACAGGATTCTAGGGGGTGTGAGTGCCGGTGGGGGGTGGGGAAGGAGAAGGCTGGATTCTGAGAGGCCCAGGCGGGCAGGACAGGCGTGTTCTGGAGAAGGCTGCCCCGCCCCACCCTACCTGGCAACAGAACCCCTTCCTCTCCCCCACCCCGCCCCCCAGAAGTTAGCCTGGGGTGACCACGACCTGGCCAGGGCACCGAAACCCCCATGTGGGCGAGTTCCCAAGCACACACATCCGGGTACATTTCCATGCATTCTTTGGGCAGGCTCCAATTCTTTATAAAGTCATCCTTGGTCGTACACAGCCGCCCAGAAGTGTGTGGAGTCCGTACCCCACCCCTTCCGCCTCTCCGGGTGTCACCTGAATACAGACCCTGCCATCGCCCCCCACCCCCACCCCGCCCCGTGGCTGGTCAGCAATTTGACCAGGGACTTCCCTGCTGCCACTGGGTGGGGCACCTTACCCTACTGGTCTGAATGGAGAGCCCAGAGTGGAGATGGGCGATAGGGAAGCAGCCACACTAGAAAGAATAGTCTTAAAGGCTGGCTCAAAAAACCCCTCCAAGAAGGCAGTGCTTAGAGCCAGCTCAGAGAGCAGAGGCAAGAATGGCGCTCAAGGTCTCGAGAACACTTGTCGAGCAACCTTGTAGTCTTTCTGGATTGACAGGAATCAATCATATTTCTGGGTAGTGATGCATGTCTGGCAAGGCTCTGAATATTAACACATTTGACCATAAAATAAAAGATGCTGAACCACAGCCACACTTGCTGACTTCCAATTCTACCTGGCAACACATTCACTCATTCAGGGAGCTTGGGCAAATTAACTCTTCATGTCACAGTGCTTCTTTTCTTAAATGGAGATGACAATACTACCAGTCTCATAGGGCTCTTATAAAGAAGGGAGAGGAAGAGTTAACAAGTCCAAAAGTTGTGCTGTTGTCATTAGTTCTGAAATTAACTCTTACTGCTGATGATATTAGATAAAACAGAACAAAGTGTTGCCCAGTCCTGTGCCAGCTAACGATCGCTGCAATTATTGAGCCCACTGTTGTACCACTTGTGTGAATTCATCTCATTGAGGGGTCCTCCGCTTTTCTTGAAGCTGTTGTTACGTGCCATCAAGTCACCTAAAACTCACAGCAACCCTGGGTACAATACTGAGCCAGTCTCACTGACTCTAGTACACCTACCCCCATTGCCCTAGTTACTATATCAATCCATCTCATCCTGGGTCTTCCTCTCCTGCTCTGTCCCTCCACTCTTCCAAGCATGATGTCCTTCTCTAAGCATTTGTACCTCCTAACCACATGTCCAAAGTATTTGAGACAGAGCTTCAAAATTCTAGCCTCCAAGGAGAAACTTGGTTTCACCCTCTCAAAGACAGACCTATCTGTTTTCTTGGCAGTCTGTGGTATGTTCAAGACTCTTCTCCAGCACCACAACCCAAAGGCATCAATTCTTCCTCTATCATCCTTAGTCATTGTCCAAGTCTCTGATGCATAGCAAATAATTGTGAAGACCATGGACTCGATTAGGTGCACCTTAGTCTCTAGACTGACACTGTTGCTTCTCAGTGCTCTGGAAAAGTCCCTAAAGAATTTAAATAATTTTTTTTTAAAAAAGAGAACACTTGTCATCACCCCAAACTTTATTGCTTACGGTTCTCTACAACCTGGACTCTGCAGCACCCAGGCTGCAGTTCTTCACGTGTCAGTGGCTCCACGCAAATGGCTGGACAGACATCACCTTGGCAGGATGTGCTGGACAAGCTTCCCCAAGGAAGTGTTGTTTCAAAGGACACCCCACAACCCTAGGAGGCTGGAGCTAGTAGACCCCTCGCCCCAATGATTCTCAGTTAATGCTACATGTGTCCTGATCAGCCTCCACAGTGGGGCAATATTTGTATGTGTGTGTGTCATCTTAGAGAGATCTGGAAGAAGTTTGAGGAGGCATGTCAGTACGGGTCAGACTTGAGTTCCTTCAGAGTCTCCTGGCCCAGAGGGGGTCCACACTGTTACTTTTGCTCCCCGTGGAGTCACTGTCCTGTCCTCCTGGAGGGCGGCTATGAAAGTGCTTTGAGGTCATCTGAGTGCAAAGTGCAGCGACAGTGCCCCTGCAGGCAGGAGGGCAGGGGCACGTGGGTGTGATGAGGTGCTGGGTGTCAAAGCTGGGGCCTGGCAACCATGGGGTCACTGGGGGCTGCTCTCTTTTTGCATTTATCATGCTCTGTCCTCAGACCATTCTGGTCAAGACGGTTCTGTGTCCACTCTTCACTTTTACAGATGAGGAAGCTGAGGGCAGCTAGTCAAGGGAGCGCTGGCCTGGGGCTTCAATGCCAAGATGGCCTGTTGCTCCAGAGAAGGGACTAGTAGCCAGTAACAAAAGATGTGTGCTTGGGACTGAGAACCATACAGAAACAGCTTCTTTGGCTCTTGGTTGAAGGCAAGTTCAACTGAAGATCTGAATTCCAACCACCTGAGAAGCACGGGTTGAAGTTTCCAGAGTGACACCCAGTGCTAGGGATTCTTTCCTCCTTGACTTCATCTGAACAGTTAAAGATCTAGAGGGGTGTAGATGACCTAGAAAGGCCAGATGAGGGGGCCAGAGGTCCCCATAAGCCCAAGGGCAGGTACGCCTGTCAACCTGCTTCCGTACCGGATCTGAGTGTGAGTCCTGAGGCACTGTGAGAAGGCCAAGGAGCCAAGGGGCAGATTTTCCTTGACCCAAGCCCAGATCAGAGGCTGTTCACCCTTGATGGTCAGCAAGTGTGCTGACCCAAACAGGACAGGTCAACTTGTTAGGGCCCAGGGCAGCCAAGACCCTCTTTCGTTCCGGGAGGGAAGAGTCCTCATGCATCCTTTCTCGTCACGTGTGCAGCATTCTCTTGGCTGGGTCAGGCAGGACTCCAGCGGGAAATCCTGGGTGGTGCTGGCTCGTCCCGCTTTGCTGCTGCTGGTCCCTGGTCATACCGCTGAGCCAGGGGATGGCAGGTCTCCGGGAAGAGGGCGAGCCTGTGTCTCAGGGCCCATCAGATGCTGAGAAGGAAGGCTGTTCTGGCAGAGCAGAGCTGATGGTGGGAGACGAGGCTAGGGCCTGTTCTCTAGCTGGCCATGCTTGACTCTCCAGCTCCAAGCAAAGCTGCCATCAGGGGCCAGGGTGCACTGTAGGTCGATACCGGAGTCTGGCACCTCCATGTCATAGTGCACAGGCTGCCCATCCTTGGTCACCAAGCTGAAGGCTGTGGCTGGGATCTGGGGAGAGAGTAAACCAGCAGGCCTGGGAGAGCTGACTTGGGGCTGAGAAATTTCTCCTAGATGTGAAGCTGAAAGTCCCCTGCCATACTGCGGGCCACATCTTCCTCCTGCCAATCAGCAGCCCCAAAGGTGTCCATTCTGGAGCACGAGGAGAACCCACTGAGCCCCCGTGAGGGTCCTGAGGACCCTCAGCCCCAGTGCCCTGAACCCCTAGTCCTGGGGGACCACCTGAGACCCCATCAAACTATCCCACAGGGTGTCATTTCTTCTCTTTATTCAGAAGCCTTCCTCTGCAGACAGCTGGGCTCAACACACTGGCTGTGAGCAGCAACCTGTCTTCTTACCTGGTTGCTGATGCCAGTGGCGATGTCTCCCACCTTGACCCGGTGGAACTCCCGGATATGCAGGTGCTCCCCGTTCAGAGACTGTATTTGTACTTTGACACCTAGAAAGCAGGTGACAGTCAGGAGGCCGGCTCTCTGAGGAGCAGGGTCCTGGCAGGGTAGAAACTTTTAGTAAAAAAAATTCACCCTATCTATGGAAAGGGAGGAGGTTCTGGCTGAGATGAGGCAGCAGAGACCACAGCTAGGCTGGAGTGGCTCTAGTGTCACACACCTGCTAGTGCTTCCTGGCACTCTGCTGCCAACCTGAGCATTCGGCCCACATGGCAAAGAGCTGGGGCTGGCTTTGATAGGGAAGTAATAGTCCAAATTGGACACAAAGCAAAAAGGAACTGAAAACAAAGATTCTGAAATTAGACTGTGGCAATGTAGACCATAACGTTCTCTGAGCGGGCGGGGCTCTGGCCAGGCCATGGGGGCTGCACACCGCTGAGTCACACTGGCCCTGGGGCGGGTCATGCTAGCTGAGGCCTTGTTCTCTGAAAATCACAATATGATTGGTGTGGCTGGGCTCGAGACCAAGAAATTATATGTTGTTTTTATCCTACTGTGGCCTCAAATCCCAGAAGAGGATGCTGGGACGTCTAAGTGAAGTATTAGCAAGCCACGAGCTGTGTTTCTGATTATAATATCCAGGGCTGCCGCTCTACCTTGTCCCTTCAGATCTCCTGACTCCAGCATGGGAGAGGCTCATGTCAGGGGTAGCTGCTGGGACTCCCGCAGAAGCCAGCGAGGACACTGGCTGCCACTGTCCCAGCAGCAGAGGCTCTTGGGGAATCAGAGCCTTTGCTCTTTACCTGACTAATTAGCTGGGAACCTCAGGATCTAGGCACCAGATGCCTTCCCTGCATGTCCCCATGGTGCCAGAGGAAGAGGGATGTGGCCCCTGTAAGATTCCCTAGTCCTAGGGGTTTGGCTGTCATGAGGTTGCTGACGTACCATTGAAATGTCTCGGGATGTCTGTGGGTCGGCCCCGGGCCAGCACCATGTTCCAGCTGGAGCTGCGGGCCTCTGCCTGGCTGCTCCACGAGTGTATACCAGAACTCAGGGTGCCCCGTGAGCTCTGAGAGGCCTTTGATGGATTCTGAAACAACATGGGGGGAGACACACACTCAGGCTCGTGGGCCTCAGGGACCATCTTTGGCCTTAGTCTCATTCAAGGAAAAGGAGTTAATCTTGGAGAGAAAAGCTGTTCTTGTCCCAGGCTGGGGTGTAGCTCCACTGGGTCCTCTTGGGGGTAAGCAGGGGCTGAGCTCATGGGGAGGAGGCGTGGACTGGAGGCAGAGAAGGAGTATTTCCACAGGGAACAAAGTCCATCTCCATGTTGGCTCTGGTAGCTAAACCCATTCTCCACCGCCCTGGTGTGTGGAGGATGGACTACCTCACCCTGAGACACCATGACATGTCATCAGCAAGACCCCTCCCAGAGGGAAGCTCCTGGCACCTTCCTGCCCTTCACTCACTCCTCATACACTGTCCATTCACTGGCTGTGCACAAAGCCGCCAGACACTCTGACACTGTGTCAGAGTCGGGAGGACTATGCCCCTACAGTGATGGTTCCTGGCTCATGGTTGGCTCACCTTTTCACTGTCATCTGACAGGGAGAGGCTGTCGATGCTGAGGCATGACAGGATCTGCTCTTGTTCCTCCAGAGAGAATGGCTGGGACAAGCTGTTCAGAAATAATTCTGTGGGGAAAAGCAGAGCTATGGTGACTGGGAAGGGTCTGGCTTTGTAGAGCGGGTTCTTTCTGGAAGAAAAGCATGCTGGGAAGAAGACGCAGCCATTCTGCCCATACCTAGCTCCAGCTGCTGCAGCTCCTGCTCGGGGAAGGTGGCCCTGCGTTCTGGTGAGCTGGGGCTTTTGGCAGGGGCTGGGTCCAGGGAGCACAGAGGCAAAGGTTCCCATGTCCCAGACTCCTCCTTGCTCAAGTTCAGGGTCGGGGACTTGTTCCGCTCTGGGGGCTCTGGCGGTAGAGGAGGCTGGAGCTTCGGACCGCTGCCCACGGTCTCAGCTGGCTGGGGCCCTGGGGCCGCTGTCAAGAACTCCCTTGGCTGGGCGCGTAGGGTCTGGTGATAGTTTGCTTGGTTTGGCAGCAGATGTCTTGGTTCTTTGTATTCTCCCTTCCAAGGGCTCTTCAGACCTCCCACTACAAAACAGAGCACAGCACAGAGGTGGGAGGGTGCCAGCACACAGATGACACTTGGGGTCATGTCAGGGATACCTCTCTGGAGCAGAGGAGAGCTTGCCAGAGCCATGTGCTGAGCCATCTCTGAGATCATTTAGGAGGGCAACAGTGGTCTGTCTCCAGAGGGGGCATCTTAGGTAAGATGGTCTCAAAAAATTGAAACAGGACTGTATTTGTCTTTTATTCCATTTTCCTTCTGGTTACAGTAGCAAATTGAAAAACTACAGAACTGGCTTCAGAGAAGGCCCTGAAGCAAAGCAAATTAAAGCTTTTTAAAACCTAGGCAAGATCACCAAGAAGTTTCCTGGTGAAATGACCTCTCTAGCTCTCCGTTCCTCTCTTATCTCTGGATGTCACTTCCCAAGGATACAATTTCTCTGGAGTGAGGTTAGCACTAGAGTCACCCTCATAATCATACCTGTGTCTATTATGGTGTGGGAGACTGTGCGAAGCCTCCTTCTTTATCAGTTATTTCCATTAAATTTCCATGGCCACACTTTCCTCTGTCCCTTGCCCAGGTAACATTCTGATTATTACCTTTTATTTACAAAACGTGTCTTGTTTTTATTTATCAGTTTGTTGTGTCTCTTTCTGTTGGTTTTTTCCACACAGCACTATGTTTGTCAGACCCATCCATGCTCTGTGGACAGTGGATCTCTTGCTTTAACTGCTGTCTAGCGCTCGCTGGGGCATCCCTACCTCTGCTCTCCCAGGCTGGCACTGGGTTTGCACTGACTCTTCCCACAGACCAGGGCAGCAGAGGCCCTAAGGTGCGCCCCCTGGTGGGCCTTGTGGGAAGCGAACCAGAAACATGGAGACAGCAGCCTAGCCCACATGCCTGAGTACTGCCCAGGGTCTCAGTCTCCCCACCTTGGCTCTACCTCTTTCCTAAGCAAAGGGTTATAGAGTGACACCTGGCTTAATTTTTCATTCTTTGGTCACTTCTCAAAGAAATCAGGTCAGAATTGACTCATAGCTGACCCTCCAGTAATTTTTCTGGGACTAAAATTGCATGGGAGGAGACTGCCCATCTTTCTCCTGAGGAGCAGCTGGTGGATTTGAACCTCTCACACTTGGGCTGGCAGTGCTAGGCCACTCTTTATGTGTGAACCTCCTCCTGCCCGTCTCCTGAGTCTTCTCTGTTACAACGAGGCTTGGCACTTAGCCTGTTTCCTCACATCACCTGCACCTCCTCTGCATCCCTAAGGTTAGGGTCATACCCATCTTCTAACAGGTGACAAGGCTCCCAGACTTGAGTGTCCTGCCCAGCCCACCCCTGCCACCTCGGGGGCTTGTGGCCCTCAGCCGTGTAGGGGGAGAAGCAGCAGTGCAGGCTCTTACCTTGTTGCAGGGCCAGGCTGACTGTGCCCCCCAACTCCACCGCCGAGGGCCTGTGGCTGGGCTCTTTCCTCAGCCCCTCCTGGATGGCCTGTGCGGTGAGAGGGGCACAGGAAGGTGGGATCTCCCTCACAGGTGGGGGTTCACTGGCAATCTGCAGGTCAAAAGACAACAAGGTGAGGCCTGTAACCCCCATTTCCCAGCACTCAGCCTTGCAGCTCCTGCCCCATGCTGTGTTGTCACCAGAAGTGGACTGGCCTGGGGCAGAACAAAGGCTGGGCTTTTCTAGAAAAACAAAAGTGTCAGGTAGGACACAGGGACCATAACAATGAGCTCCAGCCCAGAGGTCATGAGGATGGTGCAGGATAGGGCAACATTCCTATCCATTGTTCATATGGTCTATGAGTTGTGCAGTTGACTTGACAACACCTAATAACAACAAGAACAGGCCAAGGCCAGGGAACAAGAGATCCATGTCCACCGAGCCCGGTCTGTCAGGGGGCAGGTGATGGTGTGGTCCTGGATGTGAACCCGCCATGCACTCATGAGGCCTCCGTTCAGGGTGGCAAGGGTTTTTGTCAGGATCTGCACACGATGAGGCCTCCCCTTGTTCCCTGCTCCCACTGCTACTGAAAAGCAGCCCAAACAGGGATCCCCATGGGTCTGCAGCCCTGACGCAAAGGCCTTACACGGTGCGGTTACTGACCTGAAGGAAGAGCGGCCCGAGGAAGTACTGGGTCCAAGGGTGGCGGCCATTGAGCATGTGTAGCATCATGCAGCAACTGCTCCAGACATCCACCTTCATGTCACAGGGCTTGCCCAGCACCACCTCTGGAGCCATGTGGGTCTCCGTGCCAGGGATGTAGTCCCCTGTGGAGGTGAGGGCGAGATGGAAAAGTAAACAACCAAAAACTCTGAAAAGCAGGAGCCTGGGCAACAACATGCCAGTCAATTCCCTGCACATCCCGCTTCTTTACTATAGGACTCCCAGCAAACTTGCTGGGGTAAGTGGAGTCAGGGACCCTGTGTGGACTAGGACATAGCACACTGTGGCCTTTTAAAACTGAGGGAGGGGTGGTTATTGAAATCAAGTAGAAGATAAATTAATGGCATGACGTTTCTGAAATATTAGAAGTTAAAGAAAAAAACAATTGTTAAAAAAAAGTATATGTACAGAAGACTGGAAAGAGTGATCAAACTAATAAACCTCAATTGCTGCGGAGTTGGAACCAATTAAGCTGAACCCTGCTGCAGGTTTTCAGAGGCTGTAAACTGACCATCTTTCTCCAACAAGCAGCTGGTGGCTTTGAACCATCTGCCTTTGGATTGCCAGCACAACTCCTTAACCATTAGGCCACCAGAGTTTCCTGGACAAACTGACTGCAGATATCCACCTCCCCCCTGCCCCCCGGCGGCCCTGGCACTTTGGATTTTTAATTTTCATTTAGGTCTACTTTCTGCAGTGTTGGGGCTCTCATGGCCTAGTGGTGTGGAGTTGTGCTGCCAACCCAAAGGCAGGCCGTTCAAAGTCACTAGTTTCTCTCAGGGAGAAAGATGGGAAATCTCCCAGGCAATTTACAGTCTTTAAAAACTCGCTGGAGGGTTAGTTATGAGTTGAACGGAGCTCTGGTGGCTTAGCAGTAAAGAGTTATGCTGCCCACATAAAGGCATCACGGTTCAAATCTACTCGCTGCTCGGAGGGAGGAAGACTGGCAATCTCCTCCTGTGTTATTTACAGTCTCTGAAAACCCATGGGAGGGTCTGCTAGGAGTCAGTTCAGACATGATGACAAAAACAACAAAACTATCTGCAAAGAAAAGATATAATAATAATAATAAAAATAATAATAAAAAGACCCTCACTGAAGTTATGGGATTATGTAGGTGAGCAGTCCATGGTCATATTACTACACAATCCTTTAAAGAATCATAAACACCCAATAGACAGTTTTCTTTCTGGCCAAAATGAAATAATTTTCTGCTTAAGGTTCTAAATAAAATACAAGGCCCAAGAATTGTGTTATAATGGCCTTAACTATACAGAAAAGGAAAAACCCTCCCCAAACTTGAGAAGAATGATTATTTCTGAGCAAGAGAAACGCTGAGAATTCTTTCTCACACTCCTCTTTTATACCATTTAACCCTGTGCTTGCCAAATTTCGGACATCAAGGTATTCTGTTTTGTTCTTTTTAATACACTTTTTGATTAGGATTTGGGCAATTTTACAGAGTGGATTAGCATTCTAGTCAACCCTTATATATACTGTTTTTGACACTGATTACAATCTCCACGTTGTACCCTCATCCTTCCCATGATCTCTCTGGGGTTCTTGTTTCCGTCCATCCTTCCTACCTTCTGAGCTTTACTCAGGGCAAGCGCTGCCCTCGTGACCGTGTGTGGTTGATTGCTTCTTCATGGGATTCCTGTTCACCTCATAGATCTGTCTATTGTTTGGCTGCCACAGTGATGGGTAGCTCCATTCCAGGTTCAAAGGGCAGCTAATGGTCAGTGTCTCAGGGGTGACACCAGTCTCCCTCAGACAGTAAGTCATTATTGTGATTTTGGGTTTTGTTCTACATGTGTCGACCATTCTGTCCAGGACTCTCCAGTATCTCTTTCTGAGTGGTTAGCAGTGACAGTCGGGCACCATCTAGACCTTTTGGTCTCAGAGCCATGGACGTTAAGGTTTTCATGGTCTATTAGAAACTAACTGTTTGCACTCAGCATGGACTATTTTAATAATCAGAAAAATAGAAGTTAAAAATAGATGTTTTCCCAGCTGCACAGCACAGGCCTCTTGGTCAGCCCACTGTACTTCCAGCCAACTGTGTACTCAGAGGTGTGGAGAGTTGGGCTCACAGCCCGGAGCACAGCTCAACCACAGAGGCCAGCCAAGAGTGGTGGAGTCATGGTGCTCTGGCCAACGGGACTTGAGACCTTGGGTATGGGCCCCCAGTCTTTCCAATTCCCTTCTTGATATAACAGGAACATCAGAAATGAACACATGCGTGTATTATTTAACTATAATAAAAACCTTATGGCCCAGGGTTACTGTGGGAGTCAGATCTGTAATGGTGAATGGAAAGCACTCACATCTTTTACTACTATTACAAAAAACCCCAGAAGAGGTCCATGTTCAGTAAGCGCTACTTCTACTAGTGTGGTGGGACAAATAGTCTGGAGGCCTTACCTGTGAGCAAGGACCTTCCCAGGCTATTGGGTTGAAGGCACACAGCATGGCCAAAGTCACAGAGGGCCGCACGGCTCCCATCGCTGGACAGGAGCACGTTGTCAGCTGCCAGGCCACCCCAGGGAGGAAGAGGAACAGGTGAGTCATGTCGTGTCCCAGCCCACCCTGGCTGGGGCTGTCCTGGACCTCGAGTGAGGTCATTTTCTGGCTGACCCTATGGGGCAGCTGCTGCTTCTGCTTAGACTCATTAGTCATGGGAGATGGGAGGAGGGTATCAGCTCAGACTAGAGGCAGGCAGCAGGCTGGAACTCAGACAGAAAGGGGACAGGCTTTATTCCTGGGGTGCTGCCACTCAGCTTTGCTGTCCCCACGCTCTCCCCGTGGTGACCAACCAGCATGTAGGATGTTGGTTTTCAGCTTTCTGTGGGCACCACCCTCTTGGAACTACAGTGCTTAATGGAGGACCTGGAGAATATCTTCTCTCTCCCAACCTGTCAGCCTTGCGTAGGCTCTGCCACAGGAGATGACTAGCAGGTCCAGAACAGTGAGGAAGTGGCCAGAGAGCATGAGCTGAGGGAGTCCACTGGGGACCAGGGACATGGGGTCTGGGCCTCACCTTTGACATCTCCATGCAGAATCCTTCGAGTGTGCAGGTATTCCAGCCCCTCCAAGGCCTGGCCCAGGTAGAACAGGGCCCGATCCTCCGGCAGACACCCCTTCTGCTTTATGAGCTGGCCTAGTGAGCCACCTAGGAGATCAATGATCAGTCTTTACACGAGGTTTCCCCAGGCTTCCAGGCAAGCCAAGAGCCAGTGTGAAAGTCAGGGAGTGGGAAAACAGGTCTTTCCTGCAGATATCACAGGGTCAAGAGGTTAAAATGGATTAGTTAAGGGTCAAGGCCATACTGGGGAAGATTTGGGGGTAAGTTTTGAGGGAGAAAGGATTGGGACTTGGCACCTTACCTTCCAACAGCTCCATGAAAATGCTGACCCAAGGGCCTTCCTTCACGGCTCCGTACAAAGGGACAATCCTGGGTGAGGTCAATCCTGCACATGCCACCAACTCCTCGGCCCGAAACACTTCTATCCGTACCTGAAAGGACCCACAGGTGTCTGGGTCAGAGGTGAGGGAGACCAGGGCTGGATCCTCAGGACAGAATCTGGTAACTGCTACTGGTTCATCTCTTGGCTCACCTCAGGCTACTGATATACCCATGATGGGTCAGAGGTGAGCCTGTGGTACCTTCAGAGACTCAACTATGTGTGCCCCTGGTGTCAGGGAAAACTTCCTGTGCTTTATTAAAGTTCCAGAGTACTGACCACGTGCAAAAACACACAAAAACCAGAGCCACTGTCCAGACTCCTGGTAGTCTGTCTACGCTCAAATCTGTCAAGGTGAGGATATTTATGACCCTTAGCCCAAGGCTAAGGATGTCTGGAATGTAAGGCCCTTTGATTATCAATATCCACGTCTCCTTTTTAGAATCTGGTTTCTGAACCATCTGATGCTAGAGCTGATTCTGCTAAGATTCCATCTCAGGTACCTTTGTGTTGAACCTTTCAGCACACGTTTCAGCACTGTTTTGAACTCATCTGTAATTGCCTCTTTCTCAGAGGACTCAAAGATCCACATTGATGGGGGCTGGTGTTGATTTTTGTTGTCCATAGCTGTTTCCCCAGTATCCAGACACAAAGGAAGCAGGAAGGACATGCCGGCTGCAGAATATGGGCTTGATTCATTAACTCTCATGCCCTTGGATTCTTCATTGTGAATGGTCATTTGTTTCTGGAGGGAGCAACAGCTTGGCATAGCAGGAAGAACCAGGCTGTGGACAGGAATAATCATAGGCTGAGATCCTACCTAGCCTGACTATAGTCAAAGACAGATCACTTCTCCTCAGCTGTGTGCTTTCATATATGAATGGAGACACAGTGGTATTTACTCCTGGGCACGGTGAGGACTTGGACGATAGCAGACACCATGCCTGGTAGACAGTAAATGCTCACTCCTCACGTCCTTCTTTCATCTCAAATAAGGGCAATTCAGTAAGTTCTTAGACTTCATATTAGGGACTGTTGTTTCTTCCAGGCAGTTGTGGTTCACTCCTGTGTAAACTCTGAGCAGAATCATCAGGGGATGCTGGATGCACCAAAAGCAGTCTGGGAGACAGGTGTCTGGGACACAGGAATTCTGTCTGGAGACTTGCTAATTTGGAAAACAGGAGCTATGTGGTCCTTCCGTACTTTTCCATGATCAGTAGATAGCATCTCTTTGCTGGCTTTAATTTTAGTTACTCAACTCATATGCATTTATCAGTGCTGTTTTCAAGGCCTCTGCATCTGAGCTAGAACCAATTCACCAACAGCACTGGTATCGGTGAATATGTAAGTATTCTTTTTTTTTTAATTTTTAATTATATTTTATTAATTTTCATAAACATTTAGAGATTTTGGGCTTCCACTCATTCATTGTTGCACTATTCTCTCTACCCTCCTCCCAGTTTGTTCTTGTCCAAATGCCACAGTGCTTGTCAAAGCCAGTTCTGATTAATCTTCTTTGTCAGTGTGTCCTTTGCCATTCCCTATCACTCCTCCCTGAGAGAGACTTCACCCTGAGTCATAAGGAAAAGGGGATGGCGTATTCTCTTAGCTACTTCCTGCTGAAAAGGGACGCTGTGGGTTTCAGGGTGAAGATCTTCTCTCACTACTCTAAAGGGCCCCTTTGGCAGTAGGAAACAGAATATGTAAGTATTCTAACCTTATGGCTCCCAAACTGTGAGCCCTCATTCTCAAAGCACCTCAGAGGAAGAGGAGCTACATGGCTGTTTTTACTCAAGGGGCCGGTGAGGCACTGCATCATGACAACTACTAGCTCCAGAAATCTCACACTTTCGACACTGGATCACAAAAAGTTCCTTCAGATGATCTCATTTGTGAAAATGGATTTCTAGAAGTGGTGATAAAAAGAGCGAATACTTCAGAAGAAAAACATACAAGAGGAAACAGAGGTGGTGGTGTCCAATAATTTCAAGGCTTGAGAATTTGGATGCTGCCCAACAAGGCTTACATCCTGTGAGTAAGTAATTATGTTTGTTTATAAGTGGAATCAAATATTTTTATATGGAATAAAATACTTTTCTTTCAATAAAATATGGAATAAAATATTTTTTCTTTCAATTTATGTATTTTGGTGTTTGTTTGTTGCTTTGTGTGTTGTTCCCCCCCACCCCAAACTTGCTAACAGGTCCTCGAGAAAGTTCAGCCAGAGTGCTCCTTAAAGGCAAGGATGTTGAAGCTTCATCTCACATACTTCGGCCATGTTGCTAGGAGAGGCTATAGTTTAGAAAGGACATCAAGCTTTGAAAGGTGGAGGGTCAGTGAAAGAAAGGAAGACTCTCAACCAGATGGCCTGACACACTGAGCTCTAGTATGTCAGAGATGATGAAGATGGCACAGAACAGGACAGAGTTCAGAGTTCAGTACTGATGCCACCGAACAACAACCGGTTGTTAGGACAAATCTTTACTACAATATTTGCTCTTTCTGATAAATGAGCTATTAGCTATTTCTTTTGGCCTGAAGCATTAGGGGGAAATTGCAGAGACGTTAAGGGCTGGAAACAAGATAGATTTGGGAATCCTTGTTTTAACTTCTAATGAAATATCTAATTCTCCCATAGTGTACAAGCATGTTAAACATATTTCCAACCATCCAGAGCCAACTGGGGTGGATGGAGGACTCAGGAGGAGATTGTCCCTCCTTCTCCAGCAGAGCATCTGGTCGATTCGAACCGTGCACCTCTGGGATTGCAGTGCAGCTTCTCGCCATTAGGCCACCAGAGCTTGCCTAGGGGCTGCTTCTGAAGTCTGGGCCAGTCCCATGCAAGGCAGGCTGAGGGGCAGTCAGGTGGGGAGAAAGCATCTAACCTCTAATTCAGGTGTGGTCCCTGTCCCTTCTCTGGACTCCAGGACCCTCCCCAGTAAGGTGTGGGCTGGGCTGTGTTTAGGATGTTAATGAGAACAAGTAAATCAGTGCCCACTCTAACGGTTTTAAGCATTTTAGCCTCACTTACTCACTACTGTTAGGACAGAACCAACTCGCAGCTCATCCTCCACTGGGTTTCTGAGGCTGTAAAGTGTTTGCATAGAGACTGCCCATCTTTCTGCCTTGGAGCGCCTGGTGGATTCAAACTGTCAGAGATGCAGCCTTTGGGTTAGCAGTGCAGCTTCTTACAGGGAATAGAAATCATTGCGTTGACTGTCATTGTTAGGTGCTGTCAAGTGGACTACGACTCACGGTGACGCTATGCAGAATGGATCTAAACCTTGCCCTATCCTGTGCCATCCTCGTCATCTCTCATATACTTGAGCCCACTGTTAGAGTCATTGTGTCAATCCATCTCACTGAGGGTCTTCTTTTTCAAGGTAACAAACTGAAACCTGGACCAGTAACCTGTGTAGGATCAGTGGGTGAAGTATCAGAGTTGGGGTTCTGGCCAGGGAAGGCTGACTCCAGGGCCACTGAAGGTCTTTCTGGGTGCAGTTTTCCATTTGGACCCCTCAGCAGTGTGCACATCCAAGTGGGAGTGAGGTCAGCCTCATCGCCTAGTCCACAGCCTCCATCCACTGAACTGCCTTCTTCAAACTCTCTGCTCTTGCACTCCTAGTCATTTTATTTCCATGGTATAAAGGGGGAATGACAGCAATTCTCAAGCTCTTGAAAGATTCCAGCTTGCTCTGACTGGGCAGCCTGACTCTCTGGCCCACCTCCAAGGCCTCACCCCCTCATCAGGGCCTGGTTCTCATCTGGTCTTCTCGCTGACAATCCTAAGGTCTGGCCAGCCCAACTACTCCTCTTGAGGAGAAAGAGGGGCTGCGTGGGCTGCTGACATGTCATCTGCACTGAGTGCTCTTGGCTGGGGCAGAGGGAAAGTTCTAGGGGGGTCAGCCCTGTGGGTGAGAACAGTAGCTCTGGGGCTGGGAAGACTGTGTGTTGTAGTTGGAGCTTTTCTGACTGCACCGGAGAGGTGAGAAATGCAGTATTTGTCCTCTTCTACTATATTAGGGTTGTTTACCTTGTTGCCTGGGACTCTGAGAGGCTGGGACGCTGAGCAGAGGAACAGCTGGGAGGCCTGGTGACTAAGCTCCCTGGCACTGAGTGTTCATCTCCAGGACACTTCACACTCTCTCACCCTCAGGAGGGGACAGCTGAGCCTTCTCCAGTAACCTGGGGAGGGGACTTGTAGCTGAGGAGGTCAGGCACGTGACCTTGGCATCTGAATGGAAGATGATGACCCATAAGGGCAAGAACTCAGCACATGTTTCTGTCAGTGGTGGATGGTGAGGGGTGAGGTGTACTTATCTGCCACAATGTATCTGAAATTGGGGGTGATATTTGTGGATAGTCTCCTTTCTTATCTTAGCACCAATTTGAGCATCCTGGCCAGTGCCTCAAGAGCCACAAGAACCCATGCTGTGTGGAGTCTGAACAGCCCTGGCCTGCTGGGTCTGGCTACTGAAGGAACAGTTACTTGAAACTAGGTTTATATGTTCGTTTATTTCACTGCCCAAGAGGAGCCCTGGTTGACACAACCTTGCTTGCTGAAACTGAGGAGGACCTGAAGCGCTTGCTGCAGAAGGTCAAGGACTGTAGTCTTCAGTATAGATTGAAGCTCAACATCAAGAAGACAAAGATTCTCACCACTGGCCAACTGGCAGCACCATGATGGACGGAGGAGAGACTGAGGCTGTCAACAGTTACAGCTTGCTCAACTCCACAATCAACACTCTTAATACCAGCAGTCAGAAAATCAAAAGATGAATTGCATTGTGAAAATCTGCTGTCAGGGACCTTTCCAGAAAACGTAAACACAACGATGTCAGTCTAGAGATTAAGGTGCACCTGATCCAGGCAATTACTTTTGCAATTACTTGCTATGCTTGAGACAGCTGGACAATGACTAAGGATGACAGAAGAAAAACCGATGCCTTTGCATTGTGGTGCTGGAGAACAATCTTGAAGACACCATGGACTGCCAAAAAAACAAACAGGTTTGCCTGGGAGAGAGTGAAACCAACTTTCTCCTTGGAGGTGAGGATTTTGAAGCTCTGTCTCACATACTTTGGACACACCACCAGGAGGAACCCATCCTTGGAGAAGGTCATCATAGTTGGAAGGGTGGAAAGGTAGCAAAGGACAGGAAGACCCCAGATGAGATGGATTGATACAGTAACTGGGGCAGTGGGGATAGGTGTGTTGGAATCAGTGAGACTGGCTCAGGACAGACTTCAGAGCTGTTGTACATAGGGTCGCTATGGGTCACAGGCAACTCAACAGTATATAATAACACAACAGCAGGGACAAGGTGTATTCTACTTAAGGTAGGGTGGGTATCAGGGGTGAAACAAAAATAGCTGAAGGGGGTAAAAGGCTGGAATCATTCTACCAGGCTGGTTGGTCTGATTTGACAAGAGGCAGGAGTCCCTCATTTCCAGGCCTCGCATGTGACCTTGGACAAGTCTTGTCATCCTCTCCAATCCACAGTTCCAACCAGTAAGATGTGGGGGGTAGAAGAGATGGTTCACTCCTCCCGTCACTGGTTAAAATTCTAAAATGAGCCTGCCTCTCTCCTATGCTTCCTGAAGAGGAGTTTGAAGCACGAACTCTAGTGTCAGATCAACCCTGTCCAGCAATTCCCTCTTACTGTCCATCTTGCAGGGCTATTCTGAGGAGCAAAGGGGATGATTGAGGTGTCATTTTGGCAGTGTCCAGTGATTTATAGCTGAGACGGGGCAGTGCTTACTGGGTTCCAGACCCAGCTGAGCAGCTGGCACTCCCAGCCTCTCTTCTAGTCCTCTCAGGAGTCCTACTGTTCGGGATTCTAGTTCAGCTTTACAGATGAGGAGACAGACACAAGCCTGCCTGCTGCCCTACAGCCCAACTCACACTCTGATTCCCCAAGAGTACCTGACGGGCAGAAGTTATGGCTCTTGTCACCTGCTGGTCCTGGGGGTGCCCACTGTGTGGCTTTCAAGTTATAGCATGACATGAATTTTGTGACGACCCAACCCCTTTCCAGGTTTTGCTTTGTCTTTAAGGGCCTGGCATTCAGAGCAGCCCAAACTGTACTCAGACACCAAAGGCTACAGATGGCTGTCTGTCCCCGCTCAGATGCCCTCTCATGGACACACATACCAAGTGCAGCTCCCAGGCCAGGACATGTGACCCAGACTGTCCCTTTCACTGCCAGCTAACTGGGAGCTGCTAGTGACAGTCAGGCTGACAGGCCCAAGCTGCCCTGTTGTTATGCTGGGAAAGGCAGAAGAAACATATTGGCCACTGCAGGGTTCCGTCTTCGGTCCCTGGCATACTTTTTTGTTGTTGTGGGGGGTGCTGATGGGAAATAACACTCCCTTTTACCTCCCTCAATTTACATTTTTGTTGTTGTCTGTATTCTCTTTTACATACATACCTTTTTGACAGCACACTGGAAGCCAGTCTGCTTGTCCTCCATCCTGTGTACCTCTCCAAAGGAGCCTCTGCCCAGGCGGGGCTGGTGTGTGGCCCAGTGGACATCCTCTCGGTACTCATAATCCACCGGTTTGAGTTTCTGGGGTTGGCAGGAGGAGAGAGGACAATCTCAGTGACCAGGGCAGCAGAAGGATGAAGAGCTACAGTTAGGGAGGCTCTTAAAGCCAATGATATCACCAGGTCTGAGGCAGGACTCTGAGGGGCACAACCAGAGATGGGCTCACAGGAACAGAGTGGAGGCAGTGGACAGCTTCAGGGGCCACCTGAGGGGGCTGATTCCTGTGAGGTAGACACACTTTTTCCTAAGACACAGGGCTGTGGGCCAGAAATGGAATTGGAAGTCTTGACAGTGTAAAACAGAACTCAAGAGTAAGAAAGAAGGGCAGGGGTTAGGGGCTCATAATGCTAAAATGAGTGGAATAAAAGCCATAAACTACAGGTTGGTAAAATCGCTCAAAGTTCCAAATTTACCTAGTGAGAGAATAAGAGGGAAAGGGAAGAAAGAGCAGTGGTGGAGTTGGCCACTCCAGGCAGCTCCTCTTCTAGATCAAAGACATTAGATGAGAGCTGAGGAAGGTGGAGACATGTTTGTCAATGTTGGTACTATTCATCTTTCTATCTTGATTACACACACTCTCTCTGAAAAATGAAGTAACCAACCAGAATAACTAGAAGCACAAACAGCTAAAAAGACTGCCTCTGACAAGGGAGCCTGGAGGTGGAGTGGGCAGCGACAGGTCTGCATCAGCGACTAAGGCTTTTCTACTAACTGACTTATTACCAGGAGTATGAGTGACTCTGGCAAAAAAAGGAATCTCCAAAGAGTGGGAACTTGGCAATGACTCTGACAGGTTTAGAGTGATGCCTCTTTTCCCGTATCAAGTCCCACTCTGATTCAGAGTTGATGCCCTTGACCCTAGAATTGGTGGGTGGGGTGTGTGTGTGTGTGTGTGTGTGTGTGTGTGTGTGTGTGTGTTAGAGAGAGAGAGAGAGAGAAAGGATAAAAGCATAAGAGGCTGGGGGCTAGTTACCTCATTAAGCAGGACCCCTTCGCTGTCCTCTGTTTCGGGGCTGGGTCCCCTCAGCCTGGGGCCCCCTGCTGTCCAGGTCTTGGCCAGGCTGGCGAGGCTGTGGGCCTGGCCTGAGCTTACGCTGCCCTGTAGAGCATGTACTAGGTATTCCTCCACAGAGAACTTCTCACGGGTGACGCCGTGGGATGGGCAGCTGGGCTGCAGGGGTGGGTGAGGCAGGGGTTTCTGAATGTCTACACAGGCCAGTTTGCCCAGGTGTGGGCCAGGCAGGGGCCGTGGTCTGTCCGCACATGCCAGTTTGCTTAGGAAGGACTCCAGAGGCTGAGGTTTCCAGGGCTGGAGAGGGTGGAATGGGAAGGGATGGGGCAGTTTGTTGTAGAAGGGGTGAGCACGCTGGAGCAGAGGGCCCACATCCTGGGGGTGATGGACTTTCCACACGTGGTTCAGACACTGCAGGGGGCTGATGAGCTTGTGGAATTCTGATCGAGGAAGAGTTGGCCGCAGGCCCTCCCCAAGTTTTTTAAAACACAGTTGGCCAAGGTCTGGCTCCTTCAGAGGCTTGATGAACTGGGGGGTGTTTGTAACATATGAAGAACCCAGTGGGGACTCATCTTCCTGAGGGAGAAAACACAGCATGAGGAATAGGGCCATAGGCTGTTCCTCCGAAGAGCGCTCTGTAGGCCCTCGCACTGGGGGTCTGGGTAGTGGAGAGGGGGTCTCACCTGCACGGGGACTGTGCAGCTCTCCTGCTCAGGGGTCCTGGGGAGCGGCTTGGCCAAGGCCACTCCAGCCTGAGCCAGGGTCTTGGTGCTCTTCTTCTTCCGTTTCTTCCGGGATTTGCTGCGCCTCTTTCCCTTCCAACAGACGGGGGCCATTTTGCCCTCAGTTGCATGGGCCACATTGTTGGGGATTTGATCAAGACTCTCAGATTGGCTGTCAAAAAAACGAGAGAGACACTGACTTTGAGTATGAGGAGGGAGGGCGGTATAATGGCTCAGAGAGCGGCACTGAAGTCAGAGACCTGCGGTCAAGTCCCAGCTTTGCTATTGCTCGGTGTGACCACCGAAAAGTTGCGACACCCACAAATGGACCACCGTTTTCTTATGTATAAAATAAGCAGAGCATTTCCTGTCACACAAGGTAAAAATCAAGTGTAAATAAGGGAGCTCTGGTGGCCTAGTGGCAAGAAACTGCTCTGCAATCCCAGAGGAACATGGTTTGAATCCATCAGATGCTCTGCTGGAGAAGGAGGGGCAATCTCCTCCCGTACCAGTCAGATCTGATTTGACGGTACACACACACACACACACACACACACACACACACACACACACACACACATCAATCAATCAATCAATCAATCAATCAATCAAATGTAAATAACTCATTTAAAAGGCAAACATGGCGAGCTCTGATGGCCTAGTGGCAAGAAACTGCACTGCAATCCCAGAGTTGTGCAGTCTGAATCCACCAGATGCTCTGCTGAAGAAGGAGGGACAATCTCCTCCTGTACCAGTCAGACCTGATTTGACGGTGCGCGCGCGCGGGCACACACACACACACACACACACACACACACACACACAAAATAAAAGGCCAAACACCTGGCCCCACCAAGCAGTAGTTACTACCATTGTGAGGGGGATGGTAGTGGAAGATGGGCCATTCTCTCACAGCTCACAAGGGGGCCATGGCCTCATCTTTCACGCCTCCCCCCTTCCCCGCCCCCTGTAGGATGCTGGAAGGCAAGCTGACCAAGACCAGGCCTGGGGACAGCTAGAGGCTTACAGGACACTGAAAGAAGTGGGTGCATCAGAAACCCCATCCTAGGCCAGAGGGCAAGTGGAGCAGCTCCTGCAGAATTCTACCACTCACTACCTTTCTTGATTCAGCCCTCATCACAGCCTTTTCCTCAACAGCAGTTTCCCAATTTCAATGATTAAAAAAGCCCACCCGGTGGTAAAAGATGGAATTGGTAGGAAATTTAGGGAGATGGGGAATGTGGGAACAGACACACCCCAGTTCTGTCCTCCTTTTTCCAGGACTTTTACATTTCCATAGGTTCCTGCTGAGGGGGGCCCTTGCTCACAACCACACGCCAGTGGGAAATGAACGCCTGTTCCCAGCACCCTCCCTACTGATGGGAAGCCAGGGGCGCAGCAAGGACTCTGAGGAGAATAAGAAGAAAATGTCAAGCTGATGTGACCCAGAGGCAGCCTACTAGCACCCACAAGCTGTGATAAAGCTTTTGAAAAGCTTATTTGGCTAAGAGACCAGCTCAGCCAGGAAAAGCTGGACTGGTTCCAAGAGCTGAACCACAGGTGCTGAGAAGGCAGCCAGGGGTCACTTGGGAGCAGCCTGAGCAAATGACTGGGGGTGGGAGGACGCTGCCCTCAATCCCCTGCCTTCCCCCTCAGGCTGGCTTGCTTACCTGTACTGTTTGGATCCAGCGATGAAAATTCGTTCTGAAAAGGTGGGACTGAACTCTTGGCTATTCTCACCTTGTAAATAAGGAGAAAAGGGTTGGTTGGATAAGCAGAGAGAAGAAAGGAAAGAACTTCAGCTGCTGTTTTGGGCCGTGCCTCCCAGGCCCAGGTTGCCTCCAACCAGGAGAGTCATCCCCTCCCTATTACCGTTTTCTTCATTCACCAACCATCCTAGCCTCACTCCTCATCTTAGCTGCCGAGAGGAGAGTATGTTCATATAATAGGAAGACCATGAGGATGCCCATCTACTGTAGTTAATGGTGATGCTTAAGTAAGATCGTATGCCTCAAACAGTTAATGGTGCTGGGGAACACTGAATGTCCCCCAACATTTAATGGTGCTCAGGGATTCCAACCTGCTGTATATTCATCACACCCAATGCCACCGAGTCGATTACTTAGAGACTAATAACTCTATGCAGAACTGCATCTTAAGAGTTTCCAAGGCGAGCTCTGGTGGCCTAGTGGCAGGAAACTGCATTGCAATCCCAAAGGTGCGCGGTTCAAACACACCAGATGCTCTGCTGAAGAAGGAGGAACAATTGCCTCCTGTACCAGTCAGATCCCATTTGACGGTACACACATAAAAAGAATAAATAAATAAATAAAAATTATATATAAAAAAGTTTCCAAGGCTATACATCTTTATGAAATGGATTTGAACTGCTGACTCTTTTATAAGCAGCCCAACACACTATCTGCTGTGCCATCAGGATCCTTGTGCATGTCCTGGAGTCTGGATGGTCTGAGTGGTTACTGCTGCACTAGTACACAAGCCCGTGACTCTCGGAGGACCCGCAGAGCAGGCCTAGTGATCTGCTCTTGCAACGTCACGGCTGTCAAAGTCCCACAGAGTAGTTCCACTCTGAACGGTGGAGTCACCATCAGCTGGAATGGACTGAATGGGGACTTACAACAACAGCCTATATTTTCACCATTATGATCTCATTCATTCTTTTAATGATTTTTTTTTTAATTCTCTCATCTCTCGTCACAAGAAGCCAAAGGGAAGTGAAAGATGTGGAGGATGGGTATGTGCAGGGAAATGTCTTCACCCATTCTTGGTTTCTCCAGACTCCACCACGGTTGGAGGGTAGGGTGGTGGAGAGAGGAGGACACCCAGGCCTCGCCAGGCCTCCTGAAAGGCTGGCACCTGGAGGCAGCTACTACCATTAGCTACCACATTCTGAGGTATCGTGAGTGAATGCAGAAAAGGCCAACCAGGTCCTGCAGTGGCCTGTTGCTCCAGACTGGCCTAACAGCCCAGGGCAGGTGTTCACTCCTTGGGGTGGGGCCACCTCTAGGTAGAAGGTGTGAAGGCCTACCAGATTCAGAGGGGCTTTCCAAGAGGTCTGGCCGTTCCTGTCAGGGGGCTCTGCAGTCACCAGCTACTCACAGTCACAGAGGGTTGCCCCACACGTTGAACCTGCAGAGCACCCAGGACTGGGCAGCCCGCCAGGCAGCCAGGGTACTCCTGCCTCCCAGCCTTCCTCTTCTGCTCTGGTCTCCACTGGCTCGTACAGTCCACTCTCGGGGGCTTTTCTAGCTTCCACTTCATACTGATTCTTGGCTTAACCCCCACTAGTGTCTTATGATAACTGTATATAGCAGTTACACTGACCTTCTCCCACTGAGGGGGAACCCTAGGTCCAGCCTCAGGATAATGTCAAGCAACAGGTCCACCCACTGCCCTCTGCCAATAACCCCAATCCAGTGATCCTTACATTCGGCCTGGGCGATGATGGAGATGGCGGCCAGCCCTCCCTCAGAGCCTTCCTTGGCTGTGCCTTTGGTGATCACGTCGTTCAGGATGTCCCACTTCCCGCAGTACACGGGGCTCTTCTCTGAGGCCTCGAGCTTCCACACTGAGCTTTGACTCTTCCCCACGGCCTGCACCTTCTCCTTGGCTTTGGGAAGCTCCTTCTGCTGACCGACCGCTGAGCCAGGGGCCCCCGGACAGGCCATCTCCATCACTGCCATCTCCCAGGCTCACAATCACCCTGCGAGAGACCACACAGAGTAAGTCACCATAATCCCAGACCCAGAGGGATTCAGGGCAGGCTTGGCTTGGAGAAAAATAAGAAGGGAAGGGCCCTGGCCTCTCTTTATGCCACATGGATTTATTTTCCAACACTCCAAATCGTAAAGGAGTCAACCTCTCAGCTGAAATGACATGTCATGTGTGCTCTGGCCCGTCCAGCTGGCCAGCGGAAACCAACTCCTCCACTCTGTCCGACAAGGAGGATTCCAGGCCACTCCCTCAAGGGCAGTGACAACAAACATCTGGGCTGGCTCTTTCAGGCCTTACTGGACCAGCTGAATCTCCTGTTGTCTGTTCTATGACTAATGAATGCTCCTCTCGGACAGGGTGGTGGATCCTATTCTCCAAAGCCATTCATCACCCTACTGACCCTACAAAGGTATTACCTTCTCACAGGACTTGCTGACACTGACTAAAGTGACTTTTCTCCAAGAGGAAAAAAGAAGAAAATCAGTAGGAGGTGTGTACGTATGCATATATGAATATGCGTGCTGTTGAGAACTCTTGAGTTAGAACAACTCACAATGGCCCACCAGCAGGTTTTCAGAGACAGTAAATCCCACTGATTGATATCTCTCTCACAGCTCTGGTAGCCTAGTGGTAAGGAATTGTGCTGCCAACCCAAAGACAATCTGAATTCATCAGCTGCTGCTCAGGAAAAAGACGGGCAATCTCCTCTTGTGTGATTTATATGGCCTCTGAAAATCAGTGGGAGGGCCAGCTGTAAGATGCCACATAATAACAAACACACATATATATGTACAGAGAGAGAGAGAGAGAGAGAGAGAGAGAAAGAGAGTGAGTGTGTCTTACAAAGTTTAAAATCTGAAACTAGTAGAGTCCAGTACTTTGCTTCTTTCCTAAGATGCACCTGTTTGTGGCCGTCCGGAAGGATGGGTTCCTTCCATTATATCCAAACTTACATGCGGAAAACTTCTACAAATCCTTTTTTTTAGGCAGAATTAGTAGTGGATTTTATAGTAGAACCTCAATGCCAACCTGTGTCTCAGAAACTACGAAGGCAGAGCACAAGAATTCACTGTTTGTGGGTTCGGTCTGAGCCAGCCTTCCTTGTTACTGAGAAAAATGATAATGTGCATGAATGGTGACCAGACTGCCATGAACAAGAACAGGGCCAGCTGAGGTTGTTATCACTTAGAAACCTGTTCAAGGATCAGAACTATGGCCTCTCAAAGGGGGGCCTTCTGGAGTGTGACTTACTTTAAACAAAGCCTAGGATGGAACCAAATGCAGTCAGGTTTTTAATAATAGCCTTCTGATGAGATTATTAAAATGGCTGTTTTTAACAGCTATAGCCTTCCCTGCTCTTAAACCTAGATCATTCCTTTTTGCTCATGCGGCAGAAAGGTAGACCTTTTGAGGCCAAACTTCTAGTATCTCTGGTTCTCGGCTATGAGACCAGGGGAAGCTGAGAGATCCTTAGCGGAAGCCTTCCCACTGCGTCTGCCTCTCTCACCTTTCCCCATCTTGCTCCTTACACTCCAGAGACCTAGCCGCCTGACATCTCTGCCCGGTGTGAGCCGGTGAGCGGACCGGATTGCCCATCTGGAGCCACAGCCCCTCTGTCCTGGGAGCTGTCCTTTCATCCTGGTGGTGAGGTGGACAGCCAGCCAGGGGTCCTCCCTCTATGAGCCCATCAGGCTCCCCTCCCCAGTGAAGACGCTGAAGCCAAGGCTGAGGCAGCTCAGTTCACAGCTGCTTCTGAAGTTTCCTGGTGGTGTGGGGATTAAGCACTTGACTGCAAACCAAAAGGCAGGTAGTCAGAACACATCAGTCACTGTAGGGAAGAGAGATGTGGTAATTTGCTTCCACAAAGATTTACAGCACTGGGAACCCACGGGGCAGTCCTGCCCTGTCCTATAGGGTTGGCTGTGGGTCAGGATCCACTCGACAGTGGTGGATGGGATGACTCACCGCACAGCCTGGCAGGCAGGAGAGTAACAAAGAGCAGTGAGAAGCTGACCCAGCAGATGGCAGCTGAACCTGTGAAGGGCCTGGGTAAACAGACTGACCCTCAGCTCCTAGGGGCACGAAAGCATGGCTTGGGAGCTGTAAACCTCCTGGGCTGCCTTCCTGTGCCACATGAGCATGACTCAGACCTTTGCGGACAGCCTCCAAGTCCAAAAGACTATTCTAGAGACACCCTGGCCTGACAGAAGGGAAAAAATCTCTGCAGCAAGCGTGGGCTTCTTGTCAGGTGGCTTTCTAGTCCTGGCTTCGGCCCCTTGCTTGTTGCCCCAGCTCACAGCTCCACATCTCTGCCCCTTAACTCTCTTAAAGCTTATGGGAGAGGCAAGGACTAAGGGGAACTAGCTACATTTATGTCTTTAAAGTAAAAAGTCTTGATATTTTACTCAGCCTGGACACTTTCCACTGCACTCACATTTCAAATGTATCCCACCTTGATGCCATCTGTGTCAGAGGAAGGGCCACAGCCAGTAGGCCACTAGAGGCCGGCATGTTATGTGCCATCGAGTTTGAACTGACTCATAGCTGACCCTGCAGTATGTTTTCAGAGGCAGTCAATCACACCAGAGGAGACTGCCTATCTTTCTCTTGCGGAGCAGCTAGTAGATTTGAATTGTGTGCCTTTGGGTTGGCGGTACAGTTCCTCGCCACCCAGAGCTCTGTACAGTACAATGCAATTACCAGACTAAGAGTTGTTTTTATTTGTCCGTTTGTTTTGAGCAGTGGGACTATTCTTGCCAAATGAAATCTTACCTCCACCAAGACCCAGGAGCATGCCACTGCTGTGTAACTCACACAAGAAGAGCAGCTGCTCCAGGGAAGAGGGCGGGAAGGGGCCCGGTGTCCTGCTGTCCTCTGCCCACCAAGGATCTCAGTGGAGACTTGGTCTCCAAAGAAAATCACGGCCTAGCAGAACTTCTCGGGTCCTCTCTAATTCCAAGAAAGTAAAGATTTGTAAGGATCATTTTATCCAACTTGAGATAATAATTACGGTTACTTATTAAGCACTAACTGTTATTTTGAAAGAAGCTTTGGTGGTGCTGTGGCGTGAACGTTGGGCTGTTAACAGGAAGGTCAGCAGTCACGATTCACAGCCTTGGAAAGCCTAAGGTCTGTCCCACAGTGTTGCTGAGTCGGTACGACACCTCAGCAGTGGGCTGGGTTTGGTTTTCATTGCTGTTTTAATCTCATTTTTAGCTGTGAAAGCTGAGGCTTAGAGAAGTGAAGTAAGCGGCCAAAAAAGTTCCACAGTTACAAGTGTGGGGATGGGATTGACTCAGGGCAGGTAACGTCTCTGAAGTTCTTTTTTGTGGTCTTTAGGGCTTTTGTGAGGACTGAGAGAGGGAGAGGAGAGCAAATGCCACTTGGCTTACCTGGTCAATAAAAGATGCTAAATGAATGTCCCTCTCTTGTCCTTACCAGGCTAGTAAACAACATCAATGGGGTGGTGGGAATTCAGTGGCACATAGTCAAGGTGCCTTGAGCTTTACCTAAGGCATTTTCACTTTGAGTCTGGTTCTCCTAAATGTAACAAGGAAAAGAAAAATCTCTGTCTTACAGTGCTGTTTCTCCTCTGAAGAGTATCCACTGAAGGGGTCAGGGCAAATCCCTCTCATGATTATTTCATTTGGAAGTAGAAACTTGTCCTTCTCTGAATGCTCAGGGGGATGAATTGCAGAAGTGTAATGGCTCAACTTCCTTAATAGGTTATTGGTTGAAGACCAATCTTGTTCTGATGCTTCCTCTTTTGAGCCTTCAGTTTGCCTGGCTACCAGTCCATGCTGGGAAGGACCAGACTCTGCCAATCAAGAACGAGGGAGGCAGTGGCCAGGAAGGAGAACCAGGGGTAGGCAGTAGCAGAGGTGGGAGCCTGGAAACAATAATAGTCTGGTTTGGCCAGGGGGACACAGAGATTACCAACCACACTCAGCCTGGCCTGGCTCCCTGTCTGCCCTTCCTGGACCCAATCCCCTGACTGTTCAAGCAAGACTGCTCCCTCCACTTGACCAAGCAGGGCTGCAACAGGCAGACCTGAACATCTCCTTTTGTTCACTCTGAACTCTGTACTTCCCACAAGGAATGCTTGCGTGCATTCTTCCTTTCTTAATATCTGCCTGGAGTTCACTTATCTTTTAAAACCTATCTTCTGATGAGGTCTTTTAGGATATGCTTCTTCATTTAGCAAGTATTCAGTGATTGTCTTGCCAGTGCTTGGGCCTCTAAAAATCACTGCATTAGTACCTTCTGTGTGCTGGGCTGGCTGCTTTATCTAAATTACCAGACTTCACAGTAATCCTACAAGGTCGATAAATTTTTTTTAAATTTTATTTTTGTGCATGTACCGTCAAATCGGATCTGACTGGTACAGGTGGGGATTGTCCCTCCTTTTCCAGCAGAGCATCTGGTGGATTAAGGTTGATAATTTTATTCCCATTTTACAGATGAAGAAATCAAGGCTCAGAGAGGTCAAGTTACCTGCAGAAATAAATGAGGCTCAAGCTAAGACATCTACCACGGATTTAGGGCTGGTGGCAAGACACTGCTGGTCCTTTCACTTGATCTCAAGAATCCTAAGCTCTTTTCTAGAATAAAGACTTGTTTATAGAGGTTGCTGTAAATCGAAGAACAGAGAAGTATCATTCTGGTGGATATTACTACACCCCTTTTATCCTTGGGGGCTGCCCACTATTTGTAACAATTTCTTGTTGATATAGTCTAAAGGCCCAAGAGCTAAATGAGGGTTTCATTAGTGAGGGCTGAATCAGCAATAAATTTGTTAGATTTGTAGTTGAGTCAGACTAGTACTTGCTCCTGGGTTATTAGGATTCTTAAGAGGCCATTCTAAGGGACCATTTTCTTAAAACAATCAAAGAAAACCACATATAATATGCATATACAAGAACCGGAGGTACAGGTAGGATAGAGCTGCCTTCACAGAAAGAACTATTGAGGCTGTGCATTGGCAAGAGGAAAAGTGAATCAGAGGAACAGACAGCATACAAGGAGTAATGGCAGGCATAGGAATTGATATATGTTGGTGG